CTATCTATTCTATCTATATAGCTATCAATCTATTTATTAATCAATATATAACTAATCTAGATTAATAAATATACAGAGCTATAGAGAGATTGTTATATATTGATTGTTATATATCTCTATATCTATAACTAAAAATCTATCTATATCTATATAATTATCTATGTATAAATCTTCTTAATTATCTATTGATTGTTGTCTATTGATATATATCTATAACTGTATCTATCTATCTCTCTATATAGCCCTCTATCTATCTATTTATTAATCAATATATAACTAATCAAGATCAATAAATATACAGAGGAGTATAGATAGATTGTTATATATTGATTAATTGTTATATATCTATATCTCTCTATCTCTCTATTTATTAATCTTGATTAGTTATATATTGATCATGTATTGATTAAATGTTATACAACTGTCTATATCTAGCTATATAGCTCACTATCTATATATTAATCAATATATAACTAGATAATAAATATACAGAGTTATAGATAGAGAGAGAGATTGTTATATATTGATTAATTGTTATATATCTGTCTATATCTATCTATCTCTCTATTTATTAATCTGGATTAGTTATATATTGATTGTTATGAATTGATTAATTGTTATATTGTCTATCTATCTCTCTATGTATTTATTAATCTGGATTAGTTATATATTGATTGTTATGTATTGATTAATTGTTATATAACTGTATATATCTATCTATATAGCTCACTATCTATATATTAATCAATATATAACTAGATAATAAATATACAGAGAGTTAGAGATGGAGAGATTGTTATATATTGATTAATGGTTATATATCTGTCTATATCTATCTATCTATTTATTAATCTGGATTAGTTATATATTGATTGTAATGTATTGATTGTTATCTATCTATCTCTTAATCTTGATTAGTTATATATTGATTGTAATGTATTGATTGTTATCTATCTATCTATTTATTGATCTTGATTAGTTATATATTGATTGCAATGTATTGATTGTTATCTATCTATTTATTAATCTTGATTAGTTATATATTGATTGTAATGTATTGATTGTTATCTATCTATCTATCTATTAATCTTGATTAGTTATATATTGATTGTAATGTATTGATTGTTATCTATCTATCTATTTATTAATCTTGATTAGTTATATATTGATTGTAATGTATTGATTGTTATCTATCTATCTATTAAACTTGATTAGTTATATATTGATTGTAATGTATTGATTGTTATCTATCTATCTATTAAACTTGATTAGTTATATATTGATTATGTATTGATTAACTGTTATGTAACTGTATATATCTATCTATATAGATTTCTGTCAATATATTAATCAATATATAACTAGATAATAAATATACAGAGAGTTATAGAGAGATTGTTATATATTGATTAATTGTTATATATCTGTGTATATCTATCTATATAGCACTCTATCTATATATTAATCAATATATAACTAGATAATAAATATACAGAGAGTTAGAGAGTTATCTATTTATTAATCTTGATTAGTTATATATTGATTATGTATTGATTAACTGTTATATAACTGTATCTATCTATCTAGCTAGCTAGCTATCTATATATTAATCAATATATAGCAAGATAATATCTATACAGAGAGTTAGATAGATGGTTCTATATTGATTAATTGTTCTATATTGATTATATATTGATTAATTGTTATATATGACTTACTGGATGAATAGGGGGCTCATTTTTGGACTGATCAATTACAGGATTAATAGGATTAATATCTAAAAATAAAAATGCGTAGAAATACAAATACGGATGAATAAATATGAATAGAAATTGATAGAAAATTCCACCCTCCTGAAAATATATCTCTATTTACACGGATATATTGAGGCAAATATAGATATAAATACAGAGAAATGGAGATAAAAATAAAAATAAATATAAATATAAATAGAGAACGCCCACCTCCTCGCAGCGCCTGCCCCGCTCGGCCCGCCACACCGAGGCCACGTCCGCGGCGCCGCCGGCCGCCTCGGAGAACATCGCGCAGGAAAGGCCGAGGCTTCCGTCGGCGGACTAGGCCGCGTTGCCAGGGCGACGGGGGCGACGCGGCGCGGGGAGATGACGCGAGGGGAGCGTGTTCTCGCGGGAAGAGAGGGCGAGGGCCGAAATCCCGCGAGAATTGGGAGGGAATCGCCTACTTCTCGCCAGAATTGGGAGGGAAATCGGCTCTCGCGAGAAGTGGGAGGGAATCTCGCGGAGGGGCGTAAGGTCTCGCGAGAGGAGCGGGTAGGGGGCGAAACAACGCGAGAATTGGGATGAAATCGCGCGGGGAGGCCTACTTCCCGCGGGAATTGGGGAAAACAGCGCCGGGGAGCCGTCCTCTCGCGGGATTTCGAAGGACTCGCGAGACGTGGGGAAATCGCAGCGGGGAATCGTTCTCACGCGAGATCTCGGGAGAGAATCTCGCGGCGGGGCCTAGTTCTCGCGAGAAGGGGGGGGAAATCGCGGCGGGGAGACGTCCTCCCGTGAGATTTGGGAGAGAATCACGCGGAGAGGCCTACTTCTCGCGAGACCTGAGTGGAAGGAGCGCCTGAGGGACGTTCTCTCGCGAGATTTCGAAACGGAATCGCGCGGATAGGCCTACCTCTCGCGAGAAGTGGTGGGAAAGAGCGCCGGAGGGCCGTCCTCTCGCGAGATTTCGGACTACCTCTCGCGAGAAGTGGGGGATAATCTCGACGTCTCGCAAGAACTGTGGGGAAATAGCGCGGGAAGCGGCGTATTCCCGCGAGACTTGGGGAAAAAGAGGCCTAGGTCTCGCGAGAACTCGGGGGAAAGATGGCGGGAAAGGGCCGTATTCTCGCGAGAGGTGCGAGCATCCAATCGCCTCTCCCGGCACGCTATTCCCGCGAGATGAGGAAGGCAATCGCGCAGAGAGGGCCCAGTTCTCGCGAGAGGTCGGCTGAAATCGCGCCGCCGAGCTCTCCGCCGCCATTTTGGTTGAGGGCATTTGACCCCAGAGATATATTTCTATTTATTTCGAGAGCTATATCAATTATATCTGTATATAATATATATATATATATATAAAATTTATATATAATATATATAAAATTTATATATATATATATATATATATATATAAAATCTGTATATATATATATATATATAATTTTATATATATATAAAATATATATATATATAAAAATATGTATATTAAATATCTATTTATTCTAAATGTATTTTTCTATTTATAGAGAACTATATAAGTTATATCTGTGTATGTGTGTATATATATATATATATCTCTAAAAATATCAATATAATATATAAATATATATCATATATAATATATAAATATATATAGATCTATCTATATATACAGATAATTTACACAGATATCTATATGAGATATAATTTAAATAGCTCTCTGAATATAAATATATATGCCCTCAACCAACATATACGGATTTATATATAGATATAATTTATACAGTTATATATATATATAAGATATAATTTTTCATTACAGAATGTGGAATAGGAGGTCCCTATTTTCATTGCAGAACTATATAAGTTATATCTGTGTATATGTGTATATATATATAATATATAAATATATATAATATATAAATATAATATATAAATATATATAATATATAAATATATATAGATATATCTATATATATATATATACAGATAATTTATACAGATATATATATGAGATATAATTTAAATAGCTCTCTGAATATAAATATAAATGCCCTCAACCAACATATACGGATTTATATATAGATATAATTTATACAGTTATATAGATATAATTTGTATAGCTCTCTATCTGTATATAGATATTTATCTATCTATCAATAGATATTCGGAATAAATATGTTCTCAACCAACATATACAGAATGTGTAATAGGAGGTCCCTATTTTCATTATAGAGGGTGAAATAGCAGGTCCCTATTTTCACCGCAGAATGCGGAATAGGTCTCTATTTTCATTGCAGAATCTGGAATAGGAGGTCTCTATTTTCATAGCAGAATATGGAATAGGAGGTCCCTATTTTCATTAATTAAATTTGAAAGTAACGATGAAATGATGAAAGGTTGAGATTTAAAAATTTAATTAAATTTTTAAGGATTAAATGTAAAAGTTACATTTACAGTTAATTGTTAAAGGATTAAATGTAAAACTTAAATGTAATCTAATTAAAATTTAAAATGAAATGAAAAAAATTTAAAGGATTAAATGTCAAAATTAAAATTAATCTAAAATTTAAAATTAAATGTAAAAAAATTAAAGGATTAAATGTAAAAATTAAATTTAATCTAATTAAAATTTAAAACTAAATGTAAAAAATTTAAAGGATTAAATATAAAAATTAAAATTAATTTTAACTGAAATAGAAGGTCCCTATTTTCATGGCAGAGGTCTCTATTTTCCTTAATTAAATTTAAAAGTAACGAGAGGATGAGATTTAAAAGTTAAATTTCAATTAAATTTTGAAAGGATGAAATGGGAAAATGACATTTGCAATTAGTTGTGAAAGGATTAAGTGAGGGGGCGGAGCTTCTTCAACAGGAAGTGGAGGCTCTTCTCTGCCGGATGATAGAGCTGAGATTCCTAGACGGCTCCCTTCCCACTCCAGGAAACAGGAAAGGGGAAACAGGAAATGCCCTTCCCTCCCGGACACCTGGGTCCCACCTCCAGGAAACAGGAAGTCCCCTCCCCTCCCGGACACCTGGGTCCCACCTCCAGGAAACAGGAAGTCCCCTCCCCTCCCGGACACCTGGGTCCCACCTCCAGGAAACAGGAAGTCCCCTCCCCTCCCGGACACCTGGGTCCCACCTCCAGGAAACAGGAAGTCCCCTCCCCTCCCGGACACCTGGGTCCCACCTCCAGGAAACAGGAAGTCCCCTCCCCTCCCGGACACCTGGGTCCCGGTCTTTTCCTTCTAGGGTTGGACCTCCAAGACTCTATGGTTTTCCATTTTCTTCCCCTATCATTGCTTTGAGGTTCCCTTCCTTCCGGAAAAGCCTGGAGATCCCGGAATCTAGAACCCCCTGGAAAGTCCTTCTTCAGGAATCCCCTTGAAATCCCGGATCCCCCTGGAAATCCGGAATCCCCCTGGATATCCCGGAATCCATAACCCACTGGGAATCCGGAACCCCCTTGGAATCCCTCCTTCTGGATCCCCCTTCAAATCCCTCTTTACAGAACCCCCTGGAAATCCCGGAACCCTCTAGAAATCCCTCCTTCCGGAACCCCCTGGAAATCCCGGAACCCCCTAGAAATCCCTCCTTCCATAATCCCCTGGAAATCCCGGAACCCCCTTCAAACCCTTCCTTCCGGAACCCTCTAGAAACCCCTCCTTCCGGATCCCCCTTCAAATCCCTCTTTACAGAATCCCCTGGAAATCCCGGAATCCGGATCCCCCTGGAAATCTCTCCTTCTGGAATCCCCTAGAAATTCCTCCTTCCGGAACACCCTGGAAATCCTGGAACCCCCTGGAAATCCCTCCTTCCAGAAACCCCTGGAAATCCCATAACCCCCTAGAAATCCCTCCTTCCGGATCCCCCTTTAAATTCCTCCTTCCATAATCCCCTGGAAATCCCGGAACCCCCTAGAAATCCCTCCTTCCGGATCCCCCTTCAAATCCCTCTTTACAGAACTCCCTGGAAATCCCGGAATCTGGATCCCCCTTCAAATCCCTCCTTCCATAATCCACTAGAAATCCCGGAACCCCCTTCAAACCCTTCCTTCCGGAACCCCCTGGAAATCCCGGAACCCCCTAGAAATCCCTCCTTCCGGATCCCCCATCAAATCCCTCCTTCCATAATCCCCTGGAAATCCCGGAACCCCTTTGGACTCCCTCCTTCTGGATCCCCTTCAAATCCCTCTTTACAGAACCCCCTGGAAATCCCGGAATCCGGATCCCCCTCCAAATCCTTCCTTCTGGAACCTCCTTGAAATCCAGAACCCCCTGGAAATCCCGCCTTCCGGAACCCCCTGGAAATCTCTCCTTCTGGAATCCCCTTGGAATCCCTCCTTCCAGAAATCCCTGGAAATCCCAGAACCCTCTAGAAATCCCTCCTTCCGGAACCCCCTAGAAATCCCAGAACCCCCTAGAAATCCCTCCTTCCGGAACCCCATAGAAATCCAGAACCTCCTAGAAATCCCTCCTTCCGGAACCCCATAGAAATCCAGAACCTCCTAGAAATCCCTCCTTCCGGATCCCCCTTCAAATTCCTCCTTCCATAATCCCCTGGAAATCCCGGAACCCCCTTGGAATCCCTCCTTCTGGATCCCCTTCAAATCCCTCTTTACAGAACCCCCTGGAAATCCCGGAATCCGGATCCCCCTTCAAATCCTTCCTTCTGGAACCTCCTTGAAATCCGGCACCCCCTGGAAATCCTGGAATCCGGATTCCCCTGGAAATCTCTCCTTCTGGAATCCCCTGGGAATCCCGGAACCCCCTAGAAATCCCTCCTTCCGGATCCCCCTTCAAATCCCTCCTTCCATAATCCCATGGAAATCCCGGAACCCCCTTCAAACCCTTCCTTCCGGAACCCTCTAGAAATCCCTCCTTCCGGAACCCCCTGGATATCCCAGAATCCATAACCCACTGGGAATCCGGAACCCCCTTGGAATCCCTCCTTCTGGATCCCCCTTCAAATCCCTCCTTCCATAATCCCCTGGAAATCCCGGAACCCCCTAGAAATCCCTCCTTCCGGATCCCCCTTCAAATCCCTCTTTACAGAACCCCCTGGAAATCTCTCCTTCTGGAATCCCCTGGGAATCCCGGAACACCCTTGGAATCCCTCCTTCCAGAACCCCCTTCAAATCCCTCCTTCCATAATCCCCTGGAAATCCCGGAATCTAGAACCCCTGGAAATCCGGAACGCCCTGGAAATCCCGGAATCTAGAACCCCTGGAAATCCCATAATCTAGAACTCCCTTCAAATCCCAGAACCCCCTAGAAATCCCTCCTTCCGGAATCTTCTAGAAATCCCGGAACCCCATAGAAATCCGGAACCTCCTAGAAATCCCTCCTTCCGGAACCCCCTGGAAATCTCTCCTTTTGGAATCCCCTGGAAATCCCGGAACCCCCTAGAAATCCCTCCTTCCGGAACCTCCTGGAAATCCCGGAACCCCCTAGAAATCTCTCCTTCTGGAATCCCTTCAAATCCCTCCTTCCATAATCCCCTGGAACCCCGGAACCCCTTCAAACCCTTCCTTCCAGAACCCTCTTGAAATCCCTCCTTCCGGAACCTCCTAGAAATCCCTCCTTCCGGAACCCCTGGAAATCCGGGAACCCCCTCGAAATCCCTCCTTCCGGAACCCCCTGGAAATCCTGGAACCCCCTAGAAATCCCTCCTTCCGGAACCCCCTGGAAATCCTGGAACCCCCTAGAAATCCCTCCTTCCGGAACCCCCTGGAAATCCTGGAACCCCCTAGAAATCCCTCTTTCCGGAACACCCTGGAAATCCCGGAACCCCCTAGAAATCCCTCATTCCGGATCCCCTTCAAATCCTCCTTCCAGAACCCCTGGAAATCCCGGAACCCCTAGAAATCCCTCGTTCCGGATCCCCCTTCAAACCCTTCCGGAACCCTCTAGAAATCCCTCCTTCCGGAACCCCATAGAAACCCGGAACCTCCTAGAAATCCCTCCTTCCAGAACCCCCTGGAAATCCCGGAATCTAGAACCCCTGGAAATCCCGGAATCTAGAACTCCCTTCAAATCCCAGAACCCCCTAGAAATCCCTCCTTCCGGAATCTTCTAGAAATCCCGGAACCCCATAGAAATCCGGAACCTCCTAGAAATCCCTCCTCCCGGAACCCCCTGGAAATCCCGGAATCTAGAACCCCTGGAAATCCCGGAATCTAGAACTCCCTTCAAATCCCAGAACCCCCTAGAAATCCCTCCTTCCGGAACCTTCTAGAAATCGACAGAAACATTGGCTTCCAGAAACTTCCATTTTAATATTCCAAGCAGTTCTGAAAATGAAAAAAATTATTTCCTTTTATTTCCTTTATTTTCTTCCAAGTCCGGTGAATGCGATGACAATGAAATTCAAAATTAACGAGGAAAGGGTGAAATTTAAAAATTAAATTTAAAAATTAAATTTAAATTTCATTGACATTGAACGATTAAGGGATGAAACTTGAAAATTAAATTTAAATTTCATTTACATTGAATGATTAAGGGATGAAACTTGAAAATTAAATTTAAATTTAACCAGTAAATGATTAAACTTAAAATTTACATTTAATTATAAAGGGGTTAAACTTAGAAGTTCAATTTAAATTTAATTACTAAGTTCAATTTGAAAATGAAATTTCCATTTAATCATTCAAGGATCCAATTTAAATATGAAATTTCCATTTAATCATTCAAGGAACCAATTTAAAAATGAAATTTCCATTTAATCATTGAAGGATCCAATTTAAATATGAAATTTCCATTTAATCATTCAAGGGACCAATTTAAAAATGAAATTTCCATTTAATCATTCAAGGATCCAATTTAACTATGAAATTTTCATTTAATCATTCAAGGAACCAATTTAAATATGAAATTTCCATTTAATCATTCAAGGATCCAATTTAAAAATGAAATTTCCATTTAATCATTGAAGGATCCAATTTAAATATGAAATTTCCATTTAATCATTCAAGGGACCAATTTAAATATGAAATTTCCATTTAATCATTCAAGGAACCAATTTAAATATGAAATTTCCATTTAATCATTCAAGGAACCAATTTGAAAATGAAATTTCCATTTAATCATTCAAGGAACCAATTTAAATATGAAATTTCCATTTAATCATTCAAGGATCCAATTTAAAAATGAAATTTCCATTTAATCACTCAAGGAACCAATTTGAAAATGAAATTTCCATTTAATCATTCAAGGAACCAATTTAAATATGAAATTTCCATTTAATCATTCAAGGAACCAATTTGAAAATGAAATTTCCATTTAATCATTCAAGGATCCAATTTGAAAATGAAATTTCCATTTAATCATTCAAGGATCCCATTTAAAAATGAAATTTAAACTTAAAAGGGTTTTTTCGAAAGCGTCAAATGTCAAAATTACAATTAAAATTAATTTTAAAATTAAAATTAAATGTCAAAATTAAATTCAAATTTCATTCCGAAAGAATTCAAGAAATCAATTGAAATTCCATTTTTAAATTTAGATTTAAATTTAGATTTAAATTTACATTTTTAAATTTACGTTCAGAAATTGAGGAAAATAGACCAATTTGAATAATCGGAATAATTCCCGTTGCACCTTGGGAAAATTCTGGATTTTTCTCGGCGCCGTCGGTTTCTTTCCCGGAAACGGCTCCGGAAGGTTCCGGGAAATTCGGGGGGCGGAGTCACGACCTCCAAAAGGAGGGGGGCAGGAATCCCTTGGGGAGGGGGATTTCGTTCCGCCGCAAAGATTCCTGGGAAGAGAGGAGGGAAGTTATTATTATTATTATGATGAATATTAATAATTGCTAATATATTATATTCGTTTATTATTATTATTATTATTATTATTATTATTATTATTATTATTATTATTAGAATAATTATTTCATTTGTGTACTGCTTTAGATTCCCAAGACATACGATCCTGATAATGAGGGAAATGAAATTATAATGAAATTCTACAAATTAATTTATTATTATTATTATTACTATTATTATTATTACTATTATTATTATCATTACTATTATTATTACTATTATTATTAGCGTTAACATTAGTATTAGTATTAGAATAATTATTTCATTTGTGTACTGCTTTAGATTCCCAAGAAAAACGATCCTGATAATGAGGGAAATGAAATTATAATGAAATTCTACAAATTAATTTGTTATTATTATTATTATTATTATTATTATTATTACTATTATTATTACTATTATTATTATCATTTCTATTATCATTTCTATTATTATTAGCGTTGACATTAGTATTAGTATTATAATAATTATTTCATTTGTGTACTGCTTTAGATTCCCAAGAAAAACGATCCGGATAATGAGGGAAATGAAATTATAATGAAATTCTACAAATTAATTTATTATTATTATTACTATTATTATTATTATTATTACCGTTAACATTAGTATTAGTATTATAATAATTATTTGTGTACTGCTTTAGATTCCCAAGAAAAACGATCCGGATAATGAGGGAAATGAAATTATAATGAAATTCTACAAATTAATTTATTATTATTATTATTATTATTATTATTATTATTATTATTATTATTTCATTTCTATACTGCTTTACATGAAATTCTACAAATAAACTTATAATTATTATAATTATATACACACACACACACATACATATATAATATAATTATAATTATTATTTCACTTCGATACTGTTTTACATTCCCAAGAAAAACGATCCTGATAACGAGGGAAATGAAATTATAATGAAATTCTACAAATGAACTTCTTATAATTATAATATATAATATATATAATTATTATAATTATTATTTCACTTTGATACTGTTTTATATTCCCAAGAAAAACGATCCTGATAATGAGGGAAATGAAATTATAATGAAATCCTACAAATTAATTTATTATTATTATTATTATTATCATTATTATTATTATTATTATTATTAGCGTTAACATTAGTATTAGTATTATAATAATTATTTCATTTGTGTACTGTTTTACATTCCCAAGAAAAACGATCCTGATAATGAGGGAAATGAAATTATAATGAAATTTTACAAATTAATTTATTATTATTATTATTATTATTATTATTATTATAATTTCATGTAGAATTTCATGTAAAGCAGTATAGAAATGAAATAACAATAATAATAAAATTCTACAAATAAACTTATAATTATTATAATTATACACACACACACACACACACACATATATATAATATAATTATAATTATTATTTCACTTCAATACTGTTTTACATTCCCAAGAAAAACGATCCTGATAATGAGGGAAATGAAATTATAATGAAATTCTACAAATTAAATTATTATTATTATTATTATTATTATTATTAGCGTTAACATTAAAATGAGAATTTTGATTCTGTTTCTGATTTTAAAATTAGGATTTTGATTCCGTTTCTGATTTTTAAAATAAGATTTCAATTTCTGAAAACGCTGCATTATTTTTAAATTAAGATTTCAATTCAGTTTCTGATTTTTAAAATAAGATTTCTATTTCTGGAAATTTGCCCCAATTTTAAAATGAAGATTTCAATTCCGTTTCTGATTTTAAAATGAATTTCTATTTCTGGAAATTTGGCATAACTTTAAAATGAAGGTTTTGGCTCCGTTTCTGATTTTAAAATGAGATTTCTGTTTATGAAAATTTGGCACTATTTTAAAAATAAGATTTCAATTCCATTTCTGATTTTAAAGTGAAGATTTTGATTCTGCTTCTGATTTTGAAATGAAGATTTCAATTCCGTTTCTGATTTTGAAATCAAGATTTTGATTCCGTTTCTGATTCTGAAATCAAGATTTCGATTCCATTTTTTATGTTGAAATCAAGATTTTGATTCCGTTTCTGATTCTGAAATCAAGATTTCGATTCCATTTTTTATTTTGAAATCAAGATTTTGATTCCGTTTCTGATTTTGAGATCTAGATTTTGATTCAGTTTCTGATTTTAAAATTAGGATTTTGATTCAGTTTCTGATTTTAAAATGAAAATTTCTGTTCCCTTTCTAATTCTAAAATGATGATTCCGTTTCTGATTTTGAAATGAAGATTTTGATTCTGATTTTAAAATGCAAAAATTTCGAATACCATAAATTCAAATGCAATAAATTCAAATGCAATCATTTCAAATGCAATCATTTCAAATGCAAAAATTTGGAATGCAATAAATTCCAATGCAAAAATTTCAAATTTAATTTGAATGCAATAATTCCTAATGCAATAATTTCAGATGCAATAATTTCGAATGCAATAATTTTGCATGCAAAAATTTCAAATGCAAAAATTTGAAATGCAATAATTTCAAATACAATAAATTCAAATGCAAAAATTTGAAATGCAAAAATTTCGAATGCAATAAATTCAAATGCAATAATTTCAAATGCAGTAATTCAGATGCAATAATTTCAAATGCAATAATTTGGAAGAATTTGCAAATAATTTGCAATCATTTTACCTCCAAAACTGCTTCAACCGGATGAAGGATCCCATTTGCCCAGCGCTGGTGATCTCTTGGATCCTGCAGGGATCAAGAGGGAGATTTTAATTGCAAAACGGTGAAACGAAACGAAAGGAAAGAAATCAAAGAAATGAACGAAACAAAATCAAGAAAAAATATAAATATAAATAAAATAGGAAATAAATAGTAAATGAAAAATATAAATATAAATAAAATGGTAAATTTTATTTATTTATTATATTATATATTATTATATTATTATATATATATTTTTTATCCATTATAAATAAAACAGTAAATGAAAAACATAAATAACATAGTAAATGAACAGTAAATGAAAAATATAAATATAAATAAAATAGTAAGCAAATAGTAAATGAAAGATATAAATATAAATAAAATGGTAAATTTTATTTATTTATTATATTATATTATATATTATTATATTATTATATTTATTTTTTTTATCCATTATAAATAAAACAGTAAATGAAAAATATAAATAAGATAGTAAATGAACAGTAAATGAAAAATATAAATATAAGTAAAATAGTAAATGAACAGTAAATGAAAAACATAAATATAAATAAAATAGTAAATGAACAGTAAATGAAAAATATAAATAAAATAGTAAGCAAATAGTAATTGAAAAATATAAATATAAGTAAAATAGTAAATGAACAGTAAATGAAAAATATAAATATAAATAATATAAAGAAAATATAAAGAAATTAAATAAAAAGGAAAGGAAAATAAATAAAACAAAAAATAAATAAAATAAACAAAATAAAACATAAAACGTAATAAAGAAAACAGAAAGAAAATATATAAAAATGAAATGGAAAGAAAGAAAACGAAAAGTAAACCAAATGAAAAATAAAATATAATAAATATAATATAAATATAAATATAATAAATTAAATAAAAAGGAAAGGAAAATAAATAAAACAAAACATAAATAAAATAAACCAAATGAAACATAAAACGTAATAAAGAAAACAGAAAGAAAATATATAAAAATGAAATGGAAAGAAAGAACACGAAAAGTAAACCAAATGAAAAATAAAACATAATAAATATAATATAAATATAAATATAAGAAATAAGAAATAAGAAAATAAATATTTTCTTTCTATTTTATTTATTACGTTTTATGTTTCATTTTGTTTATTTTATTTATGTTTTGTTTTATTTAAAGGAAAGGAAAATAAATAAAACAAAACATAAATAAAATAAACCAAATGAAACATAAAGCGTAATAAATAAAACGGAAAGAAAATATATAAAAATGAAATGGAAAGAAAGAAAACGAAAAGTATACCAAATGAAAAATATAATATAATAAATTATAATAATAAATAATATAATAAATGTAATAAATAAAATAAATAATAATAAATAAATAAAATATAAATATAAATATAATAAATAAAAATGAAATGGAATTAAAAGAAGTAAAATCAACACAATGAAATAAAAGAAGAAATAAAATTCCCATTGCAACTTATAGCAAACGGCGGGAAAATTGCAAATTTTGACCATAAACCTGAATTAATTTACTGCAAATTTTGCAATCAATTTGCGGGGAAAATGCAAATTTTGATTATAGAGATGATTGGCAGATACCTTGGCAGATATTCCTCTCTGATCATGATGATCATTTTCCAAAATTGGGACTGGTAGACTTTCATGAGAGCATTGCCACAAACCTAATAATAATAATAATAATAATAAACAGCTATAATAATAATAATTACGATAATAAAACAACAGTAATGAAAAGCAAGAATGGAAATAAAAATAAGAAAAACAGCAAAAAGCCATAATAATATGATAAAAGGAAATCAAAGTGAAATATAAAAATGAAATAAAAATGAAATAAAATGAGTAGAATCAAAGAAATGAAATAAAAATGAAATAAATAGAATCAAAGAAATGAAATAAAAATGAAATAAGTAGAATCAAAGAAATAAAATAAAAATGAAATAAGTAGAATCAAAGAAATGAAATAAAAATGAAATAAGTAGAATCAAAGAAATGAAATAAGTAGAATGAAAGAAATGAAATAAAAATGAAATAAGTAGAATGAAAGAAATGAACTAAAAATGAAATAAGTAGAATCAAAGAAATGAAATAAAAATAAAACCAATAGGTCAAATAAGGTAATAAGAATGAAATGAAGTGAAATGTTTCCTCCGCTTCCTGTTCCCGGACACCTGGGTCCCACCTCCAGGAAACAGGAAAGAGGAAATGGGTCCCACCTCCAGGAAACAGGAAATCCTTCCCCTTCCTTCTCCCGGAAACAGGAAATCCCCCATTCCCCTCCCCTCTCCCGGACGCCTGGGTCCCACCTCCAGGAAACAGGAAATAGGAAGTGGGTCCCACCTCCAGGAAACAGGAAATCCTTCCCCTTCCCTCTCCAGGAAACAGGAAATCCCCCATTCCCCTCCCCCTCCCGGACGCCTGGGTCCCACCTCCAGGAAACAGGAAATCCTTCCCTTCCCTCTCCAGGAAACAGGAAATCCCCCATTCCCCTCCCTCCCGGACGCCTGGGTCCCACCTCCAGGAAACAGGAAATGCCCTCCCCTCCATCCCGGACGCCTGGGTCCCACCTCCAGGAAACAGGAAATGGGAAAGGAAACGGGAAACAGGAAATCCCCTGACTCCTCCCGGACGCCTGGGTCCCACCTCCAGGAAACGGGAAACAGGAAACAAGAAAGGGGAAACAGGAAATCCCCTCCTCTCCCAGACACCTGGGTCCCACCTCCAGGAAACAAGAAAGGGGAAACAGGAAATCCCCTCCCCTCCCGGACACCTGGGTCCCACCTCCAGGAAACAGGAAATGCCCTCCCCGCCCCCACTTCCTGCCCCGGACGGCAGGGCCCACCTCCAGGAAACAGGAAATCCTTCCCCTTCCCTCTCCAGGAAACAGGAAACCCCCCATTCCCCTCCCCCTCCTGGACGCCTGGGTCCCACCTCCAGGAAACAGGAAATCCTTCCCTTTCCCTCTCCAGGAAACAGGAAATCCCCCATTCCCTTCCCCCTCCCGGACGCCTGGGTCCCACCTCCAGGAAACAGGAAATCCTTCCCCTTCCCTCTCCAGGAAACAGGAAATCCCCCATTCCCCTCCCCCTCCCGGACGCCTGGGTCCCACCTCCAGGAAACAGGAAATGCCCTCCCCTCCATCCCGGACGCCTGGGTCCCACCTCCAGGAAACAGGAAATGGGAAAGGAAACGGGAAACAGGAAATCCCCTGACTCCTCCCGGACGCCTGGGTCCCACCTCCAGGAAACGGGAAACAGGAAACAAGAAAGGGGAAACAGGAAATCCCTCCTCTCCCAGACACCTGGGTCCCACCTCCAGGAAACAAGAAAGGGGAAACAGGAAATCCCCTCCCCTCCCGGACACCTGGGTCCCACCTCCAGGAAACAGGAAATGCCCTCCCCGCCCCCACTTCCTGCCCCGGACGCCTGGGTCCCACCTCCAGGAAACAGGAAATCCTTCCCCTTCCCTCTCCAGGAAACAGGAAATCCCCCATTCCCCTCCCCCTCCCGGACGCCAGATCCCACCTCCAGGAAACAGGAAACAAGGAAGGGAAAACAGGAAATCCCCTCCCCTCCTCCCAGATCCCACCTCCAGGAAACAGGAAGTCCCCTCCCCTTCTGGATGCCTGGGTCCCACCTCCAGGAAACAGGAAATAGGAAAGAGGAAGTGGGTCCCACCTCCAGGAAGTCGAAGAGGATGGTGGCCGTCACGTCGGCCATTGGCTCCGAGTTCAAAGTCTGGGCCAACCAGCGCCAGGCCTGGTTGAGTCCGTGCGGGTGGTTCTGGGAAATAATCGAATATTCATGTCAAACGATTTGAATAATAAAATATTTAAATGAGGGGGAAAGAATCGAGATTCGAAGACGGGGCCGAAATAAAACGAGAACCCAAATGTTTAACATAGCATAACATAGAATAAATCAAATAAATTCAAAATAAAATAACCTAATAGAATAAATCAAATAAATTCAAAATAAAATCACCTAACAGAATAAATCAAATAAATTCAAAATAAAATAAATAACATAGAATAAAATAAATTCAAAATAAAATAAATAACGTAGAATAAATCAAATAACATAACATAGAATAAATCAAATAAATTCAAAATAAAATAACCTAACATAGAATAAATCAAATAAATTCAAAATAAAATAAATAACATAGAATAAATCAAATAAATTCAAAATAACCTAACATAGAATAAATCAAATAAATTCAAAATAAAATAAATAACATAGAATAAAATAAATTCAAAATCAAATAAATAACAGAATAAATCAAATAAAATAACATAACATAGAATAAAATAAATTCAAAATAAAATAAAAAACAGAATAAATCAAATAAATTCAAAATAACATAATGTAACATAGAATAAATCAAATAAATTCAAAATAAAATAGCATAACATAGAATAAATCAAATAAATTCAAAATAAAATAACATAACATTGAATAAATAAAATAAATTAAAAATAGAATAAATCAAATAAATTAAAAATCAAATAAATAACATAGAATAAATCAAATAAATTCAAAATAAAATAACATAACATAGAATAAAATAAATTCAAAATAAAATAAATACCATAGAATAAATCAAATAAATTCAAAATAAAATAAATACCATAGAACAAAATAAATTAAAAATCAAATAAATAACATAGAATAAATCAAATAAATTCAAAATAAAATAACATAACATAGAATAAATCAAATAAATTCAAAATAAAATAACATATAATAAATAAAATAAAATAAAAGAACATAACAATAAATCAAATAAATTAAAAATAACATAACATAGAATAAATAAAACAAATTAAAAATGAAATAACATAACATAGAATAAATCAAATTAAATTCAAAATAACATAACATAGAATAAATCAAATAAATTCAAAATAAAATAAATAACATAAAATAAAATAAAATAAAATAAAAGTAGAATAACAGACTAAATCAAATAAATTAAAAATAACATAACATAGAATAAATAAAACAAATTAAAAATAACATAACATAGAATAAATAAAACAAATTAAAAATCAAATAACATAACATAGAATAAAACAAATTAAAAATAACATAACATAGAATAAATAAAACAAATTAAAAATCAAATAACATAACATAGAATAAAACAAATTAAAAATAACATAACATAGAATAATTAAAACAAATTCAAAATCAAATAACATAACATAGAATAAAACAAATTAAAAATAACATAACATAGAATAAATAAAACAAATTCAAAATCAAATAACATAACAGAATAAATCAAATAAATTCAAAATAACATAAGATAACATCGAATCAATCAAATAAATGAACAATCAAATCAAATAAATATCGAATCAATGGATTTCTTTTTCCTCCTCCCCCCCCCTCCAGCCCGGAATTTTCCGGAAGGCCTCACCCCCTGCCCCTCCCCGTAGGGCCAGCGCAGCGTCAAGATGGCGGCGTAGAGGCGGATCATTCCGGACATGCGCTTGAGGAAGTTGTCCTGGGGCTCCGGGGCCGAGTCGTGGGATTGGTAGCCCAGGAGCCTGGGGGCGGGAGGGGGAGGCGGGTGTCAATCAATCCGTCCGTCAATCGATCAATCAATCAATCCATCCATCTCTCAATTTCTCCATCTATCCATCCATCCATCCATCAATCAATCAATCAACCCATCTATCCATCCATCCATCAATCAATCAATCAATCCATCTCTCAATTTACCCATCTATCTATCAATCAATCAATCCATCCATCCATCTCTCAATTTATCCATCTATCCATCAATCAATCAATCCATCCATCTCTCAATTTATCCATCTATCCATCAATCAATCAATCAATGAATCCATCCATCCATCTCTCAATTTATCCATCCATCCATCCATCCGTCTATCTATCGATCTATCTATCTATCAACCAACTCCTTCATCCTTCCAATCCATCAATCAATCAATCAATCAATCAATCCATCCATCCATCTCTCAATTTATCCATCTATCCATCAGTCAATCAATCCATCCATCCGTCAATCAATCAATCCATCAATCAATCCATCTCTCAATTTATCCATCCATCCATCCATCAGTCAATCAATCCATCCATCAGTCAATCAATCAATCCATCCATCTCTCAATTTCTCCATCTATCCATCCATCAATCAATCAATCAATCAATCAACCCATCTATCCATCCATCCATCAATCAATCAATCAATCCATCTCTCAATTTACCCATCTATCTATCAATCAATCAATCAATCAATCAATCCATCCATCTCTCAATTTATCCATCTATCCATCAATCAATCAATCAATGAATCCATCCATCCATCTCTCAATTTATCCATCCATCCATCCATCCGTCTATCTATTTATCTATCTATCTATCAACCAACTCCTTCATCCTTCCAATCCATCAATCAATCAATCAATCAATCAATCAATCCATCCATCCATCCATCTCTCAATTTATCCATCTATCCATCAGTCAATCAATCAATCCATCCATCCGTCAATCAATCAATCAATCAATCAATCCATCTCTCAATTTATCCATCCATCCATCCATCAGTCAATCAATCCATCCATCAGTCAATCAATCAATCCATCCATCTCTCAATTTCTCCATCTATCCATCCATCAATCAATCAATCAATCAACCCATCTATCCATCCATCCATCCATCAATCAATCAATCAATCAATCAATCCATCTCTCAATTTACCCATCTATCTATCAATCAATCAATCCATCCATCTCTCAATTTATCCATCTATCCATCAATCAATCAATCAATGAATCCATCCATCCATCTCTCAATTTATCCATCCATCCATCCATCCGTCTATCTATCTATCTATCTATCTATCAACCAACTCCTTCATCCTTCCAATCCATCCATCAATCAATCAATCAATCCATCCATCCATCTCTCAATTTATCCATCTATCCATCAGTCAGTCAATCAATCAATCCATCCATCCGTCAATCAATCAATCAATCAATCAATCAATCCATCTCTCAATTCATCCATCCATCCATCAGTCAATCAATCCATCCATCAGTCAATCAATCAATCCATCCATCTCTCAATTTCTCCATCTATCCATCCATCCATCCATCAATCAATCAATCAATCAATCAATCAACCCATCTATCCATCCATCCATCAATCAATCAATCAATCAATCCATCTCTCAATTTACCCATCTATCTATCAATCAATCAATCAATCCATCCATCTCTCAATTTATCCATCTATCCATCAATCAATCAATCAATGAATCCATCCATCCATCTCTCAATTTATCCATCCATCCATCCATCCGTCTATCTATCTATCTATCTATCTATCAACCAACTCCTTCATCCTTCCAATCCATCAATCAATCAATCAATCAATCAATCAATCCATCCATCCATCTCTCAATTTATCCATCTATCCATCAGTCAATCAATCAATCCATCCATCCGTCAATCAATCAATCAATCAATCAATCCATCTCTCAATTTATCCATCCATCCATCCATCAGTCAATCAATCCATCCATCAGTCAATCAATCAATCCATCCATCTCTCAATTTATCCATCCCATCAGTCAATCAATCAATCCATCCATCTCTCAATTTATCCATCTATCCATCAGTCAATCAATCAATCCATCTATCCATCAATCAATCAATCCATCCATCCATCCATCCATCCGTCCATCCATCAATCAATCAATCCATCCGTCAATCTATCTATCTATCTATCTATCAACCAACTCCTTCATCCTTCCAATCCATCAATCAATCCATCAATCCACCTCAATTTATCCATCAACCCGTCCATTCATCTAACCCATCAATCAATCTATCTATCTATCTATCCATCCACCAATCTATCCATCAATCAATCAATCAATCAATCAACCCATCCATCTCAATTTATCCATCTATCCGTCCATCAATCAATTAATCAATCAATCAATCCATCAATCAATCAATCCATCCATCCATCCATCCACCAACTGATCCATCCATCCATCCATCTCAATCTATGCATCTATCTATCCATCCATCCATCCATCAGTCAGTCAGTCAGTCAATCAATCAATCAATCCGTCCATCCATCCATCTATCCATCAATCAACCCATGAATCTATCTATCTATCTATCTATCTATCTATCTATCTATCTATCCATATATTCATCCGCCATCCATCAATCAATCCATCAATCCACCTCAATTTATCCATCAACCCGTCCATTCATCTAACCCATCCATCAATCAATCAATCAATCAATCAACCCATCAATCAATCCATCAATCAATCAATCCATCAATCCATCCACCAATCTATGCATCAATCAATCAATCAATCAATCAATCAACCCATCCATCCATCCATCAACCCTCCATCCATCCATCTCAATTTATCCATCCATCCATCCATCAATCAATCAATCAATCAACCAATCAATCCATCAATCCATCCATCCGTCAATCAACCAACCAATCTATCCATCTACCAACAATTAATAATAATAATATTAACAATAATAATAAATAATAATAATAATAATAAACAATAAAAATAACACGAACAACTATTCATAATAACAATTAATAATTAATACTAATAATGATTAACAACTACTTCATCATCATAACTCATTATTCCTAATAACAATGCGTTGGTACGAATAATAATGAACAACCGTTAATTAATAACCACTCACCTCCGCCCCTCCTCGGGCGACGCCCCCTCCGGGACCCCCGGCCGCAGGGGGGCGGCGTAGGGGCACTTCCTGTGGAGGTGGGCCAACAGGAAGTGGCCGACCGGGGGGTGGAGCTCCCAGATCCCAGAAGCCACCACGGCGATGGGGAAGGCGGCCTGGTGGTGGGAGGCCACCTCCTCCTCTCCTTGTTTCTGGGGAAAGAGTAATAATAGTAATAATAATAGTAATAATAATAGTAATAACAACAACAACAACAACAATATCAGAAATAATAATAGTAGTAATAATAATAATAATATCAGAAATAATAATAGTAGTAATAGTATTAATAGAAATAATAGTAGTAGTAATAACAACAACAATATCAGAAATAGTAGTAGTAGTAATAATAGTAAGAAGAATAATAATAGTATCAGAAATAATAATAATAGTAGTAGTAGTAATAATAATAGTATCAGAAATAATAATAGTAGTAGTAATAATAGTAATAATAATAATAGTATCAAAAATAATAATAGTAGTAATAATAGTAATAATAGTAATAATAATAGTAACAACAACAATATCAGAAATAGTAGTAGTAGTAATAATAATAATAGTATCAGAAATAATAATAGTAGTAATAATAGTAATAATAGTAATAATAATAGTAACAACAACAATATCAGAAATAGTAGTAGTAGTAATAATAATAATAATAGTATCAGAAATAATAATAGTAGTAATAATAGTAATAATAGTAATAATAATAGTAACAACAACAATATCAGAAATAGTAGTAGTAGTAATAATAATAATAGTATCAGAAATAATAATAGTAGTAATAATAGAAATAATAATAGAAATAATAATAGTAATAACAACAACAAACTTCAGAAATAATAATAGTAGTAGTAATAATAACAACAATATCAACAATAACAATATCAACAATATCAACAACAACAATATCAGAAATAATAATGGTAGTAGTAATAATAATAATAATAATAATATCAGAAATAATAATAGTAGTAATAATAGTAATAATAGAAATAATAGTAGCAGTAATAATAACAATATCAACAATAACAATATCAATAATAGTAATAATAACAATATCAATATTAGTAAAAATAATAGTAGTTGTAATAATATCAATAATAATAATAGTAGTAATAGTAATATCAATAATAATAGTAGTCGTAATAATACCAATAGTAGTAGTAGTAATAATAGTAGCAATAACAATATCAATCATAGTAATAATAACAATATCAATAATAGTAGTAATAATAATAGTAGTAGTCGTAATAATAATAATAATAATAGTAGTAATAGTAATATCAATAATAATAGTAGTCGTAATAATACTAATAGTAGTAGTAGTAATAATAGTAGTAGCAATAACAATATCAATAATAGTAATAATAACAATAGCAATAACAGTAGTAATAATAAAAGTAGTAGTAGTCGTAATAATATCAATTATAATAATAGTAGTAGTAGTAGTAATAGTAATATCAATAATAATAGTTGTTGATATTGTTGTTATTACTACTACTATTACTATTATTGATATTACTATTACTACTACTACTATTTCATTTACTTTAATTTTTAATTCAATTCAATTTCATTTTTAATTTCATTTACTTTAATTCCATTTATTTCAATTTCATTTCATTTTTGAATTTCATTTCATTTCATTTTTAATTTCCTTGCATTTACTTTAGTTTTTAATTCGATTTCATTTCATTTTTAATTTCATTTACTTTAATTCCATTTATTTCAATTTCATTTCATTTTTGAATTTCATTTCATTTTTAATTCCATTTACTTTAATTTTTAATTCAATTTCATTTCGTTTTGAATTTCATTTACTTTAATTCAATTTATTTCAATTTCATTTCGTATTTTTAATTTCATTTCATTTCATTTTTGAATTTCATTACATTTACTTTAAATCAATTTATTTTAATTTATAATTTAATTTAATTTAATTTTTAATTTAATTTTTTAATTTAATTTAATTTTTAATTTAATTCAATTTAATTCAATTTATTTTTTAATTTTAATTTAATTTTTAATTTAATTCAATGCAATTCAATCCAATTTCATTCAATTTAATTCTGCAAATAAATTCGGGGGGAAATCAAAATATTTGGGGGAAAATGTCCCCAAAAAATCTCTCAATTTATTTGAATTTCATTTCATTTTTGAATTTCATTTCATTTCATTTTTAATTTCATTTCATTTACTTTAATTTCTAATTCAATTTAATTTCATTTTTAATTTCATCTACTTTAATTCAATTTATTTCAATTTCATTTCATTTCATTTTTGAATTTCATTTCGTTTCATTTTGAATTCCATTTCATTTACTTTCATTCAATTTATTTTAATTTATTTTAATTTTTAATTTAATTTAATTTAATTTTTAATTCAATTTAATTTTTAATTTATTTTAATTTAATTCAATTTAATTTTTAATTTATTTTAATTTAATTCAATCCAATTTCATTCAATTTAATTTTTACTTTATTTTAATTCAATTCAATCCAATCCAATTTAATCCAATTTAATTTTTACTTTATTTTAATTCAATTCAATCCAATCCAATGTAATTCAATTTAATTTTTACTTTATTTTAATTCCATTCCATTCAATTCAATCCAATCCCATTTCATTCAATTTAATTTTTACTTTATTTTAATTCAATCCAATTTAATTCAATTTAATTTTTACTTTATTTCAATTCCATTCAATCCAATCCAATTTCATTCAATTTAATTTTTACTTTATTTTAATTCAGTTCAATTCAATCCAATCCAATTTAATTCAACTTAATTTATTTTAATTCCATTCAATTCAATCCAATTTAATTTTTACTTTATTTTAATTCAATTCAATTCAATCAAATTTAATTCAATTTAATTCAATCAAATTTAATCCAATTTAATTTTTACTTTATTCTAATTCAATCCAATCCAATTTAATTTTTACTTTATTTTAATTCAATCCAATTCAATTCAATCCAATTCAATTCTGCAAATAAATTCGGGGGGAAATCGAAATATTGGGGGGAAATTTCCCCAAAAATTCTCTTACCACAAATTTTTCCGCCAGTTTGTAGTAGGAAAAGTTGAGGGCTTCCGGGTGGAGAGCGACGGAAACGCTTTGGCCGCCGGATCGGACGGGTTTCCCGGAGAGTAAGGCGTGGATCTTGTCAAAGATCTCCTTCAGCTGAGATCCTGGAGGAAGAGGAAGCGGAGGAATTAGGAGGTTGGGAAACAGGAAGTGGAAAGAGGAAGTGGAGGGGAAATTAGGAAGCAGAGGGTCGGACGGGTTTCCTGGAGAGTAAGGCGTGGATCTTGTCAAAGATCTCCTTCAGCTGGGATCCTGGAGGAAGAGGAAGCGGAGGAATTAGAGGAAGTTGGGAAACAGGAAGTGGAAGTGGAAAATTTGGGAAGTTGGAAAAAGGAAGAGGAAGTGGAGGGGAAATTGGGAAACAGGAATATTTGCTTCAGCTGGGATCCTGGAGGAAGGAAGGAAGGAAAGGAATTAGAGGAGGAGGAAGTTGGGAAACAGGAAGTGGAAAGAGGAAGTGGAGGGGAAATTAGGAAGCGGAGGGTCGGACGGGTTTCGCGGAGAGTAAGGCGTGGATCTTGTCAAAGATCTCCTTCAGCTGAGATCCTGGAGGAAGAGGAAGCGGAGGAATTAGAGGAAGTTGGGAAACAGGAAGTGGAAAGAGGAAGTGGAGGGGAAATTAGGAAGCAGAGGGTCGGACGGGTTTCCTGGAGAGTAAGGCGTGGATCTTGTCAAAGATCTCCTTCAGCTGGGATCCTGGAGGAAGAGGAAGTGGAGGGGAAATTGGGAAACAGGAAGTGGAAGTGGGGAAACAGGAAAAGGAAGTGGAAGATTTGGGAAGTTGGAAAAAGGAGGAAGTGGAGGAAGATTTGGGAAGTTGGGAAAAGGAGGAAACTGAGGAAAAATTAGGAAGTCGGAAAAGGAAGTGGAGGAAACATTGGGAAGTTGGAAAAGGAAGTGGAGGGGAAGTTGGGAAACAGAAAGTGGAAGTGGAAGATTTGGGAAGTTGGAAAAAGGGAGGAAGCAGAGAAAGATTTGGGAAGATGGGGAAAGGAGGAAACGGAGGAAAAATTGGGAAACAGGAAAAGGAAGAATTGGAGGGGAAATTGGGAAACAGGAAAAGGGAGGAGGAAGTGGAAGAAGATTTCGGAAGTCGGGAAAAGGAGAAAACGGAGGAAAATTATGAAACAGGAAAAGGGAGGAGAAAGTGGAGGAAAAATTGGGAAGAAGAAAAAGGGAAGAGAAAGTGGAGGAAAAATTGGGAAGGGGGAAAAAGGAGGAAGCGGAGGGAAAATTGGGAAGTCGGGAGGAAGAGGAGGAGGAAAGAGGAGGAAAAGGATGTAAAGCAATGGAAACGCTTTGCCCGCCGGATCGGACGGGTTTCCCGGAGAGTAAGGCGTGGATCTTGTCAAAGATCTCCTTCAGCTGGGATCCTGGAGGAAGAGGAAGCGGGAAGTTGGGAAACAGGAAGTGGAAAGAGGAAGTGGAGGGGAAGTTCGGAAGAAGAAAAAGGGAAGAGAAAGTGGAGGAAAAATTGGGAAGAAGAAAAAGGGAAGAGAAAGTGGAGGAAAAATTGGGAAGGGGGAAAAAGGAGGAAGCGGAGGGAAAATTGGGAAGTCGGGAGGAAGAGGAGGAGGAAAGAGGAGGAAAAGGATGTAAAGCAATGGAAACGCTTGCCCGCCGGATCGGACGGGTTTCCCGGAGAGAAAGGCGTGGATCTTGTCAAAGATCTCCTTCAGCTGGGATCCTGGAGGAAGAGGAAGCGGGAAGTTGGGAAACAGGAAGTGGAAGTGGCAGGTTTTGGGAAAGGAAGTGGAAGTTGGGAAAAGGGAAGAAGGAAAAGGAATTGGAGGAAACACTGGGAAGTTGGAAAAGGAAGGAGGAAGTGGAGGAAAAGGAAGGAGGAAGTGGAGGGAAAGGAAGGAGAAAGTGGAGGGAAAGGAAGGAGAGAGGAAGTGGAGGAAAAGGAGGAAGTGGAGGATCGGACGGGTTTCCCGGAGAGTAAGGCGTGGATCTTGTCAAAGATCTCCTTCAGCTGGGATCCTGGAGGAAGAGGAAGCGGGAAGTTGGGAAACAGGAAGTGGAAGTGGCAGGTTTTGGGAAAGGAAGTGGAAGTTGGGAAAAGGGAAGAAGGAAAAGGAATTGGAGGAAACACTGGGAAACAGGAAAGGGGAAGAGGAAGGGGAGGAATTAGAGGAAGTTGGGAAACAGGAAGTGGAAAGAGGAAGTGGAGAAAAGGAAGTGGAAGATTTGGGAAGTTGGAAAAAGGAGGAAGTGGAGGAAGATTTGGGAAGTTGGAAAAAGGAGGAAACTGAGGAAAAATTAGGAAGTCGGAAAAGGAAGTGGAGGAAACATTGGGAAGTTGGAAAAGGAAGTGGAGGGGAAGTTGGGAAACAGAAAGTGGAAAGAGGAAGTGGAGGGGGAATTAGGAAGAAGGTCAAGGGAGGAGGAAGCGGAGGAAAAGGAAGGAGAGAGGAAGTGGAGGAAAAGGAGGAAGTGGAGGAAAGGGAGGAAGCGGAGGAAAAGGAAGGAGGAAGTGGTGGGAAAGGAAGGAGGAAGTGGTGGAAGGAAGGAGGAAATGGAGGAAAAGGAAGGAAGAAGTGGAGGAAAAAGGAGGGAGGAAAAGGAAGGAGGAAGTGGAGGAAAAGGAAGGAGGAAGTGGAGGAAAAGGAAGGAGAGAGGAAGTGGAGGAAAAGGAGGAAGTGGAGGAAAGGGAGGAAGCGGAGGGAAAGGAGGAAGTGGAGGAAAAGGAAGGAGGAAGTGGTGGGAAAGGAAGAAGGAAGTAGTGGAAGGAAGGAGGAAGTGGAGGAAAAGGAAGGAGGAAGTGGAGGAAAAAGGAGGGAGGAAAAGGAAAGAGGAAGTGGAGGGGAAATTAGGAAGAAGGTAAAGGGAGGAGGAAGCGGAGGGTCGGACGGGTTTCCCGGAGAGTAAGGCGTGGATCTTGTCAAAGATCTCCTTCAGCTGGGATCTTGGAGGAAGAGGAAGCGGAGGAATTAGAGGAAGTTGGGAAACAGGAAGTGGAAAGAGGAAGTGGAGGCGAAATGAAGTGGAGGAAAGGGAGGAAGCGGAGGGAAAGGAGGAAGTGGAGGAAAAGGAAGGAGGAAGTGGTGGGAAAGGAAGGAGGAAGTGGTGGAAGGAAGGAGGAAATGGAGGAAAAGGAAGGAGGAAGTGGAGGAAAAGGAAGGAGAAAGTGGAGAAATAGGAAGGAGAAAGTGGAAGAAAAAGATGTGGAGGAAAAGGAGGAAAAGGAAGGGTGGAGAAAAGGAGGAAAAGGAAGGGTGGAGGAAAAGGAAGGAGGAAGTGGAGGAAAAGGAAGGAGGAAGTGGAGGAAAAGGAGGAAAAGGAAGGGTGGAGGAAAAGGAAGGAGGAAGTGGAGGAAAAGGAAGGAGGAAGTGGAAGAAAAAGATGTGGAGGAAAAGGAGGAAAAGGAAGGGTGGAGGAAAAGGAAGGAGGAAGTGGTGGAAAAAGGAGGGAGAAAAGGAAGGAGGAAGTGGAGGGGAAATTGGGAAACAGGAATATTTGCTTCAGCTGGGATCCCGGAGGAAGGAAGGAAAGGAATTAGAGGAAGAGGAAGTTGGGAAACAGGAAATGGAATAAGGAAGTGGGGGGGAAATTAGGAAGAAGGTAAAGGGAGGAGGAAGCGGAGGGTCGGACGGGTTTCCCGGAGAGTAAGGTGTGGATCTTGTCAAAGATCTCCTTCAGCTGGGATCCTGGAGGAAGAGGAAGCGGGAAGTTGGGAAACAGGAAGTGGAAAGAGGAAGCGGAGGGGAAATTAGGAAGAAGGTCAAGGGAGGAGGAAGCGGAGGGTCGGACGGGTTTCCCGGAGAGTAAGGCGTGGATCTTGTCAAAGATCTCCTTCAGCTGGGATCCTGGAGGAAGAGGAAGCGGAGGACTTAGAGGAAGTTGGGAAACAGGAAGTGGAAAGAGGAAGTGGAGGGGAAATTAGGAAGAAGGTAAAGGGAGGAGGAAGCGGAGGGTCGGACGGGTTTCCGGAAGGGAAATTGGGAAACAGGAAGTGGAAGTGGGGAAACAGGAAAAGGAAGTGGAAGATTTGGGAAGTTGGAAAAATGAGGAAGTGGAGGAAGATTTGGGAAGCAGGAAGGAGAGGAATTAGAGGAAGAAGAAGAAAAAGGGAAGACGGAAAAGGAATTGGAGGAAACACTGGGAAGTTGGAAAAGGAAGGAGGAAGTGGAGGAAAAGGAAGGAGGAAGTGGAGGAAAAGGAAGGAGAAAGTGGAAGAAAAAGATGTGGAGGAAAAGGAGGAAAAGGAAGGGTGGAGGAAAAGGAAGAAGTGGAGGGAAAGGAAGGAGAGAGGAAATGGAGGAAGTGGAGGAAAAGGAGGAAGTGGAGGAAAGGGAGGAAGCGGAGCGAAAGAAGGAAGTGGAGGAAAAGGAAGGAGAGAGGAAGTGGAGGAAAAGGAGGAAGTGGAGGAAAGGGAGGAAGCGGAGCGAAAGGAGGAAGTGGAGGAAAAGGAAGGAGGAAGTGGTGGGAAAGGAAGGAGGAAGTGGTGGAAGAAAGGAGGAAATGGAGGAAAAGGAAGGAGAAAGTGGAGGAAAAGGAAGGAGAAAGTGGAAGAAAAAGATGTGGAGGAAAAGGAGGAAAAGGAAGGGTGGAGGAAAAGGAAGGAGGAAGTGGAGGAAAAGGAAGGAGGAAGTGGAGGAAAAAGGAGGGAGGAAAAGGAAGGAGGAAGTGGAAGGAAAGGAATTAGAGGAAGAGGAAGTTGGGAAACAGGAAGTGAAAAGAGGAAGCGGAGGAATTAGAGGAAGTTGGGAAACAGGAAGTGGAAAGAGGAAGTGGAGGGGAAATTAGGAAGAAGGTCAAGGGAGGAGGAAGCGGAGGGTCGGAGGGGTTTCCCGGAGAGTAAGGCGTGGATCTTGTCAAAGATCTCCTTCAGCTGGGATCCTGGAGGAAGAGGAAGCGGAGGGGAAATTGGGAAACAGGAAGTGGAAGTGGGGAAACAGGAAAAGGAAGTGGAAGACTTGGGAAGTTGGAAAAAGGAGGAAGTGGAGGAAGATTTGGGAAGTTGGAAAAAGGAGGAAACAGGAAAAATTAGGAAGTTGGAAAAGGAAGTGGAGGAAACATTGGGAAGTTGGAAAAGGAAGTGGCGGGGAAGTTGGGAAACAGGAAGTGGAAGTGGAAGATTTGGGAAGTTGGAAAAAGGGAAGAAGCAGAGAAAGATTTGGGAAGATGGGGAAAGGAGGAAACGGAGGAAAAATTGGGAAACAGGAAAAGGAAGAATTGGAGGGGAAATTGGGAAACAGGAAAAGGGAGGAGAAAGTGGAAGAAGATTTCGGAAGTCGGAAAAAGGAGAAAATGGAGGAAAAATTATGAAACAGGAAAAGGGAGGAGAAAGTGGAGGAAAAATTGGGAAGAAGAAAAAGGGAAGAGAAAGTGGAGGAAAAATTGGGAAGAAGGGGGGAAAAGGAGGAGGAAAGAGGAGGAAAAGGATGTAAAGCAATGGAAACGCTTTGTCCGCCGGATCGGACGGGTTTCCCGGAGAGTAAGGCGTGGATCTTGTCAAAGATCTCCTTCAGCTGGGATCCTGGAGGAAGAGGAAGCGGGAAGTTGGGAAACAGGAAGTGGAAGTGGCAGGTTTGGGGAAAGGAAGTGGAAGTTGGGAAAAGGGATTGAGGAAGTGGAGGGAAAATTGGAGAAAGGAAAAGGCAGCGCAGGAAAAATTGGGAAGAAGGAAAAGGGAAGAGGAAGGGAAATTGGGAAACAGGAAGTGGAAGTGGAAGGTTTTGGAAAAGTGGAAGTTGGAAAAAGGGATTGAGGGAGGAAGTGGAATTGGAGAAAGGAAAAGGCAGCGCAGGAAAAATTGGGAAGAAGGAAAAGGGAAGAGGAAGGGAAATTGGGAAACAGGAAAAAGGGATGAAGGGAGGAGGAAGAGGAAGGAAAATTCAGCAGAAGGAACAGGAAGGAGAAAGTGGAGGGAAAACTGGGAAACAGGAAACAGGAAAAGGGGAGAGGAAGTGGAGGAAAAATGGGGAAGAAGGGAAAGGAAGTGGAGGGGAAAGGAAGGAGGAAGTGGAGGAAAAGGAAGGAGGGAGAAAGTGGAGGAAAAGGAAGAAGTGGAGGGAAAGGAAGGAGAGAGGAAGTGGAGTAAAAGGAGGAAGTGGAGGAAAGGGAGGAAGCGGAGGGAAAGGAGGAAGTGGAGCAAAAGGAAGGAGGAAGTGATGGGAAAGGAAGGAGGAAGTGAAGGAAAAGGAGGGAGGAAAAGGAAGGAGGAAGTGGAGGAAAAATTGGGAAGTCGGAAAAGGAAGAAGTGGAGGAAAAGGGAGAAGGAAGTGGAGGAAAAGGAAGTCGGAAAGGAAACAGCTGACCTGCTCTGGTCGAGATTTGACTGACAGGAGTGGTGACGGCTTTCTGGAGATCCATCTTGATCTTCTTTTCCTGGAAAAGGGGGGTGGAAGAGGAAAAGGATCACTGGCGTTTTGGGATCTCCCTCCCGTTCCCGGGATTCGGGTCGGGAGACTCGTCCGGGGATCCAGGGAATTATAGAGGGATCCAGGGACTCATCCGGGGATCCGGGGAATCGTCCGAGGATCCAGGGACTTGTAGGGAGATCTGGGAATTGTCTGAGGATCTGGGGACTTGGACGGGAATCCGGGGACTCGTACAGTGATCTGGGGAATGGTCCGAGGATCTGGGGAATCGTACGGGGATCTGGTGAATGGTCCAAGGATCTGGGGACTCGTACGGGGATCTGGTGAATGGTCTGAGGATCCTGGGACTCGTATGGAGAGCCGGGGAATTGTCTGAGGATCTGGGGAATCGTCCAAGGATCCCGGGACTTGGACGGGGATCCGGGGAATCATAAAGGGACCCAGGTACTCGTCCAGGGATCTGGGAATTGTCCGTGGATTCAGGGACTCGTACGGGGATCTGGGGAATCATAGAGGGATCCGAGGAATCATCTTAAGATCCAGGGACTTGTACGGGGATCCGGGGCACCTTCCCAGGATCCAGGGACTCGTACGGGGATCCAGGGACTTGTACAGGGATCCAGGGAATTGTCCAAGGATCTGGGGGAATGGTCTGAGGATCCAGATTTGTACAGGGATCTGGGGGATCATAGAAGGATCCGGGGACTCGTCCAGGGATCCGGGGAATTGTCCAGGGATCTGGGGAATCACAGAGGGATCCAGGGGCTCATACAGGAATCTGGGAAACCGTCCAATAATCTAGGGACTCGTATGGGGATCCAGGGACTCCTAAAAGGATCCAGGGAATCATCCAAGTATCCGGGAAATCATAGAGGGACCCAGGGACTCATCCAGGGATCCGGGGAATCATCCTAAGATCCAGGGACTCGTCCGGGGATCTGCGGAATCATCCGAGGATCCGGGGACCCGTCCAGGGATCCAGTGAACCATCCAAGGATCCGGGGAATCGTAGAGGGATCCAGGGACTCATACAGGGATCCGGGGAATCATCCTAAGATCCAGGGACTCGTCCGGGGATCTGCGGAATCATCCGAGGATCCGGGGACCCGTCCAGGGATCCAGGGAATCATCCAAGGATCCGGGGAATCGTAGAGGGATCCAGGGACTCATACAGGGATCCGGGAAACCGTCCAATGATCCGGGGACTTGTATGGGGATCCAGGGACTCCTCAAAGGACCCGGGGAATGGTCCAAGGATCCGTGGAATCACAGAGGGATCCAGGGACTCGCATGGGGATCCAGGGAACCATCCTAAGATCCAGGGACTCATCCAGGGATCCAGGGAACAGTCTGAGGATCTGGGGAATCATAGTGGGATCCAGGGACTCATCCAGGGATCCAGGGAATCATCCGAGGATCTGGGGAACCATAGAGGGATCCAGGGACTCATAAAAGGATCCAGGGACTCATACCGGGATCCAGCAAACCCTCCAGGGATCCGGGGGGAATCGCCTGGGGATCCAGGGACTCCTAAAAGGATCCGGGGAATCGTCCAAGGATCTGGGGAATCATAGAGGGATCCAGGGACTCATAAAAGGATCTGGGGAATGGTTCGAGGATCCGGGGACTCGTCTGAGCATCCGAGGAATCGTAGAGGGATCCAGGGACTCATACAGGGATCCGGGAAACCGTCCAATGATCCGGGGACTTGTATGGGGATCCAGGGACTCCTCAAAGGACCCGGGGAATCATCCAAGGACCCGGGGAATCGCAGAGGGATCCAGGGACTCGCATGGGGATCCAGGGAACCATCCAAGGATCCGGGGACTCATCCAGGGATCCAGGGAATCATCCGAGGATCCGGGGAACCATAGAGGGATCCAGGGACTCCTAAAAGGACCCAGGGAATGGTCCAAGGATCCAGGGACTCATACGGGGATCCGGGAAACCATCCAGGGATCCAGGAAACCGCCTGGGGATCTGGCGGGCGACCCCCAAGGTTGGGGGAGGGGCTACCTGGCGGTCTTTGCTATTGGCCAGGCCGGCAAAGGAATCCACACACTGGTCCAACTGGTCCTGGAGCTGCTGGTACCACTGGAGGGTCTTTTCGTCGGACTTGAGCTGGAGCCCTAAAAAAGACGATGGATTTCTGTTTCTATTTGCCTTTATTTTGATATATTTCACTGATCTCCAGGACTGAAAGCGGCTTATAAAGATGAATAATTATATTTACATTTAAAAATAAATATAAATATGATATATATATATATTGTATATAAATATAGATAGATAAGTAGGTAGATAGATAGATAGATTATAAAGATGAATAATTATATTTACATTTAAAAATAAATATAAATATGATATATATATATTGTATATAAATATATATATATAAAAATAGATAGATTATAAAGATGAATAATTATATTTATATTTAAAAATAAATATAAATATGATATATATATTGTGTGTATGTATATATATATATATATATATATATATATATATATATATAATAAAGATTAATATTTATATTTAAATTTAAAAATAAATATAAATATGATATCTATATATTGTGTGTGTGTGTGTGTGTGTATATATATATATATATATATATATATATATATATATATAGATTATAAGGATGAATAATTATATTTACATTTAAAAATAAATATGATATATATATTGTGTGTATATATATATATACATATATATATATATATATGAATAATTATATTTATATTTAAACGTAAATATAAATTATAAGAGAGTTATATTTATATTTATTTTGATATATAGTATAAATATAAATTATATCTAGAGAGAGAGATTATATTTATATTTATTTGGATATATTTCACTGAAACTGATCTCCAGGACTGAAAATGGCCTACAAAATTAATAACAACAAATAATACACAATTATTCTTATTTCAGCTAATTATTATTATTATTGTTATTGTTATTATTTAGTATTATAAATTATTATATATTATATATTAAATACTATTATTATTATTTCTATTACAACTGAAAACGAGATTTAGAAGGTCGACAGATCTATCAGTGTCCGAAACTGGGATAATCAGAAATAATTCCCAGTATGAAATAATAAATAATCATAAATAATAGAATATTGTTAATAATAATAATTATAATAATAATAATAATATTGCAACCAAAAACAGGATTTAGAAGGACAACAGATCTATCAGAGTCCGAAATGGTGATAATTAGAAATCATTCCCAGCATAAAATAATAAATAATAAATCATAGAGTAGTAATAATAACAACAACAATAACAATAATAATAATAATAATAAATATTATTATTATTATTATTACTTCTATCGCTACCAAAAATGGGTTTTATCGGTGTCCGAAATGGGGATAAGAAGAAATCATTCCCAGAATAAAATAAAATATAATAAGCAATAGAATAATAATAATAATAATAATAATAATAATAATAATAATAACAAAACAACAATAGTAATGCTATGTTGTAAATAAAAAAATCAATTAAATTATAAAAATAAATAATAACAATAGTAATGTTATGTTGTAAATAAAAAAATCAATTAAATTATAAAAATAAATAATAACAATAATTGCGCCACAAAATAAATAACAATAATAAGAATAATTGCACCACAAAATAAATAATAATAATATGAATTCCACCACAAAATAAATAATAATAAGATTTCCACCACAAACTAAATAATAAGAATAAGAATTCCACCACAAAATAATAATAATGTTATGTTGTAAATAAAAACTGCAATTAAATTATAAAAATAAATAACAACAATAATTGCGCCACAAAATAAATAATAATAAGAATAATTGCACCAGAAAATAAATAATAATAATATGAATTCCACCACAAACTAAATAATAATAAGATTTCCACCACAAAATAAATAATAATAAGATTTCCACCACAAAATAAATAATAAGAATAAGAATTCCACCACAAAATAATAATAATGTTATGTTGTAAATAAAAACTGCAATTAAATTATAAAAATAAATAACAACAATAATTACATCACAAAATAAATAATAATAAGAATAATTGCACCAGAAAATAAATAATAATAATATGAATTCCACCACAAACTAAATAATAATAAGATTACCACCACAAACTAAATAATAATAAGATTTCCACCACAAAATAAATAATAATAAGATTTCCACCACAAAATAATAATAATGTTATGTTGTAAATAAAAACTGCAATTAAATTATAAAAATAAATAATAATAATTGCGCCACAAAATAAATAATACTAATAAGAATAATTGCACCAGAAAATAAATAATAATAATATGAATTCCACCACAAACTAAATAATAAGAATTCCACCACAAAATAATAATAATGTTACGTTGTAAATAAAAACTGCAATTAAATTGTAAAAATAAAAAAATAAATAATGAGAATTCCACCACAAAATTATTATTAATAATAATAACAACTCCACCACACAACAATAAATATAATAATAATAATAATAATAATTATTATTGTGTGTGTGTATTATTATTCCACCACAAAATGAATAATATTATTGTGTATTATTAATTTTGTGGTGGAATTATTGTTATCATAATATATTATTATAATAATATTTTATTATAATATTGTATTGTGTGTGTGTGTGTATTATTATTCCACCACAACAGAATCTCAAAAAGCGAACGGAAAGATCATTATATCAAAAACGCACCGTTTTTCCGGGATTTTCCGGAACTTTCCGGAACGGGATCTTTTTCCGGATCCTGGCTGCTGGGCGTTTTCTCGTCTTTCTCGTTTTTCGCCTTCTCGGCCGCCGCTTTTTCCGCTTCCTCTTCCTGCTTCCTCCTTTCGGCGGCGAGGGAGATCTCTTCCCGCAAGCCGGAAACGAGATTCCGCATTTCCAGGAGGGCCTGGTCGGCGGAAGCGAGGTCGGCGGGATCGGGGAATCCTCTCTGGGGAAGGAAGGAAGGAGGAAGTGAAAAGAAGGAAGGAAGGAAGGAAGGAAGGAAGGAAGGAGGGAGAAGGGAGGGATAGGGAAAATGAAAGAAGGAAGAAAAGGGAAAGGGAGTATGGAAGGGAGGAAGGGAGGAAGGAAGAAACGGGGAAGGAAGGAAGGAAGGAAGGAAGGAGGGAGGGAGGGAGAGAGAAAATGCAAGAAGGAAGGAAAGGGAAAGGGAAAGGAAGGAAGGAAGGAAGGGGAAAGGAGGAAAGGCAGAAAAGGCAAGAAGGAAGGGAAGGGAAGAAGGAAGTGAAAGAAGGAAGGCAAGGGAGGGAGGGATGGAAGGAAGGAAGGAAGGAAAGAAGGAAGGGAAAGGAAGGAAAGAAATACAAGAAGGAAGGAAAGGGAAAGGGAAAGGGAAAGGGAAAGGAAGGAAGGAAGTGAAAAGGAGGGAAGGGAGGGAGGGAGGGAGGAAGGAAGGAAGGGAAGAAGGAAATGCCAGAAGGAAGGAAAGGGGAAGGAAGGAAGGAAGGGAGGAAGGAAGGAAGGAAGGAAGGAAGGAAGGGAAGGGAAGGGAAGGGAAGGGAGGGAGGAAGGAAGGAAGGAAGGGAGGAAGGGAAGAAGGAAATGCAAGAAGGAAGGAAAGGGAAAGGGAAAGGGAAAGGGAAAGGAAGGAAGGAAGGAAGGAAGGAAGTGAAAAGAAGGAAGGAAGGAAGGAAGGAGGAGGGAGGGAGAAAATGCAAGAAGGAAGGAAAGGGAAAGGGAAAGGGAAAGGGAGGAAGGGAGGAAGGAAGGAAGGAGGGAGAGAAAATGCAAGAAGGAAGGAAAGGGAAAGGGAAAGGGAAAGGGAAAGGAACGAAGGAAGGGAAGGGAGGGAGGAAGGAAGGAAGGGAAGAAGGAAATGCAAGAAGGAAGGAAAGGGAAAGGAAGGAAGGGAGGAGGAAGGAAGGAAGGAAGGGAAGGGAGGGAGGGAGGAAGGAAGGAAGGACGGGAATGCAAGAAGGAAGGAAAGGGAAAGGAAGGAAGGGAGGAGGAAGGAAGAAAGGAAGGAAGTGAAAAGAAGGAAGGAAGGAAGGAAAGAGTAGGGAGGGATAGGGAAAATGCAAGAAGGAAGAAAAGGGAAAGGAAGGAAGGGAGGAAGGAAGGGAGGAAGGGGAAATGAAGAAGGCAGAAAAGGCAAGAAGGAAGGGAAGGGAAGAAGGAAGTGAAAGAAGGAAGGCAAGGGAGGGAGGGATGGAAGGAAGAAAGGAAGGAAGGAGAGAACGAAGGAAAAGGAAGGAAGGAAGGAAATGCAAGAAGGAAGGAAGGAGGAAGGAAGGAAGGGAGGAAAGGAAGAAGGAAGGCAGAAAAGGCAAAAAGAAGGAAGGAAGGGAAGGAAATGCAAGAAGGAAGGGGAAGGAAGGGAAGGGAAAAGAAGGAAAGGAAAAGGAAGGGAGGGAGGGAAGGGAGGAAGGAAATGCAGGAAGGAAGGAAATGGGAAGGAAGGAAGGAGGGAAGGAAGGATGGAAGGAAGGATGGAAAGAAGGAAGGAAGGAAAGGGAAGAGAGGAAGGAAGGAAGGAAATGTAAGACGGATGGATGGAAGGAAGGAAGGAAACGCAAGAAGGAAGGAAAGGGGAGGGAAGGGAGGAAGGAAGGAAGGAAGGAAGGAAGGAAAGGGAAGGGAGGAAGGGAGGAAGGAAGGGAGGAAGGAAGGAAGGAAGGAAGGAAGGAAGGAAGGAAGGAAGGAAGGAAATGCAAGACGGATGGACGGAAGGAAGGAAGGAAGTGCAAGATGGATGGATGGATGGAAGGAAGGAAGGAAACGCAAGAAGGAAGGAAAGAAGGAAATGCAGGAAAGATGGAAATGCAAGAAGGAAGGAAAGGGGAAGGAAGGAAGGAAGGAAATGCAAGACGGATGGAAGTAAGGAAGGAAGGAAGGGCAAGATGGATGGATGGACGGAAGGAAGGAAACGCAAGAAGGAAGGAAAGAAGGAAATGCAGGAAAGAAGGAAATGCAAGAAGGAAGGAAGGGGAAGAGAGTAAGGAAGGAAGGAAGGAAGGAAGGAAGGAAGGAAGGAAATGCAAGACAGATGGACGGAAGGAAAGAAGTGCAAGATAGATGTATGGATGGAAGGAAGGAAGGAAACGCAAGAAGGAAGGAAAGAAGGAAATGCAGAAAAGAAGGAAATGCAAGAAGGAAGGAAAGGGGAAGGAAGGAAGGAAGGAAGGAAGGAAATGCAAGACGGATGGACGGAAGGAAGGAAGGAAGTGCAAGATGGATGGATGGAAGGAAGGAAGGAAACGCAAGAAGGAAGGAAAGAAGGAAATGCAAGAAGGAAGGAAAGGGGAAGGAAGGAAGGAAGGAAGGAAGGAAGGGGAAGAGAGTAAGGAAGGAAGGAAAGGGAAAAGAGGAAGGAAGGAAGGAAGGAAACACAAGAAGGAAATGCAGGAAACAAGGAAATGCAAGGAAGGAAGGAAAGGGGAAGGAAGGAAGGAAGGAACTCACCTCACTCGCCGTCCGCACCAGGGCCGACACCTCCCCGCAGATCCGGTTCCCGCGCTCGGCGTAGGGGGCGTAGGCGGGGCCTTGCTGTCCGGCCTCGGACCCGAGTCCCCGATTGGCCTGCAGGAGCTCTTCCTGGGCGGCGTAGGGCGGCGGGCCGCTCTTGCCCCGCCTCCCGGCGCTGGGCTCCGCCTCTTCCTGCCGGAGCGCCGCTGCTCCGCCCGCGCAGCTTGCGGCTGAGGAGCTGGGGGAGAGGGCGGAGTCAGTGAGGGAGGGAGGGAGGGAGGGAAGGAGAGGAAGAGGGAAGGAAGGAAGGAGGGAGGGAGGGATGGAGGGAAGGAGGGAGGGAGGGAGGGAGGGAGGGAGGGAGAGGAGATGGAGTCAAAGAGAGGGAGGGAGGGAGAGGAGGTGGATTCAGGGAGGGAAAGGGGGAGGAAGAGACGGAGGGAGAGAGGGAGGGAGGGAGAGAAGGAGTCAGGGAGGGAGGAGGTGGAGTCAGGAAGGGAAAGGAGGCGGAGTCAGGGAGAGAGGGAGGGAGAGGAGGTGGAATCAGGGAGGGAGGGAGGAGTCTGGGAGAGGGAGGGAGGGAGAGGAGGTGGAGTCAAAGAGGGAGGGAGGGAGGGAGAGGAGGTGGAGTCAGGGAGGGAGGATGTGGAGTCAGGGAGGGAGTAGGTGGAGTCAGGGAGGGAGAAGGGAGGGAGGGAGAGGAGGTGGAGTCAGGGAGGGAGGGAGGGAGGCGGAGTCAGGGAGGGAGGGAGGGAGGGAGAGGAGGTGGAGTCAGGGAGGGAGGAGGTGGAGAGGGAGAGCGGGAGGAGGTGGAGTCAGAGGGAGAGAGGAGGGAGGAGGTGGAGTCAGGGAGGGAGAGGGAGGGAGGGAGAGGAGGCGGAGTCAGGGATCAAGGAAGAGGACTCAGGGAGAGAGGGAGGGAGAGAGGGAGGGAGAGGGAGGGAGGGATAGAAGGTGGAGTCAGGAAGGGAAGAGGTGGAGTCAGGGAGGGAGAGGGAGAGAGAGGAGGCGGAGTAAGGGAGGGAAGAGGTGGAGTCAGGGAGGGAGAGGGAGAGAGAGGAGGCGGAGTCAGGGAGGGAGGGAGGGAGAGGAGGTGGAGTCAGGGAGGGAGGGAGGAGGGAGTCTGGGAGAGGGAGGGAGGGAGAGGAGGTGGAGTCAAAGAGGGAGGGAGGGTGGGAGGGGAGGTGGAGTCAGGGAGGGGAGGGAGGAGGGAGGAGGTCTGGGAGGAGGGAGGAGGAGAGGAGGTGGAGTCAGGGAGGGAGGGAGGGAGAGGAGGTGGAGTCAGGGAGGGAGGGAGGGAGAGGAGGCGGAGTCAGGGATGAAGGAAGAGGAGTCAGGGAGAGAGGGAGGGAGAGAGGGAGGGAGAGAGGGAGGGAGGGAGGAGTCTGGGAGAGGGAGGGAGGGAGAGGAGGTGGAGTCACAGAGGTAGGGAGAGGGATGGAGGGATAGAAGGTGGAGTCAGGAAGGGAGGGAGGGAGGCGGAGTCAGGGATGAAGGAAGAGGAGTCAGGGAGAGAGGGAGGGAGAGAGGGAGGGAGAGAGGGAGGGAGGGAGAGGAGGTGGAGTCAGGGAGGGAGGGAGGGAGGGAGGAGTCTGGGAGAGGGAGGGAGGGAGAGGAGGTGGAGTCAAAGAGGGAGGGAGGGAGGGAGAGGAGGTGGAGTCAGGGAGGGAGGGAGGGAGAGGAGGCGGAGTCAGGGATGAAGGAAGAGGAGTCAGGGAGAGAGGGAGGGAGAGAGGGAGGGAGGGAGGGAGGAGTCTGGGAGAGGGAGGGAGGGAGAGGAGGAGGTGGAGTCAAGAGGAGGGAGGAGAGGAGAGGCGGAGTCAGGAGATGAAGGAAGAGGAGTCAGGGGAGAGAGGAGGAGGGAGAGAGGGAGGGAGAGAGGGAGGGAGGGAGGAGTCTGGGAGAGGGAGGGAGGGAGAGGAGGTGGAGTCAATGAGGGAGGGAGAGGGATGGAGGGATAGAAGGTGGAGTCAGGAAGGGAGGGAGGAGGCGGAGTCAGGGATGAAGGAAGAGGAGTCAGGGAGAGAGGGAGGGAGAGAGGGAGGGAGAGAGGGAGGGAGGGAGGGAGAGGAGGTGGAGTCAAAGAGGGAGGGAGGGAGGGAGAGGAGGTGGAGTCAGGGAGGGAGGGAGGGAGGCGGAGTCAGGGAGGGAGGGAGAGGAGGCGGAGTCAGGGAGGGAGGGAGAGGTGGAATCAGGGAGGGAGGGAGAGGAGTCAGGGAGGGAGGGAGAGGAGGCGGAGTCAGGGAGGGACGGAGAGGAGGTGGAGTCAGGGAGGGAGGAGGAGGCGGAGTCGTGGAGGGAGGGAGGGAGAGAGGCGGAGTCAGGAGAGGGAGGAGAGAGGCGGAGTCAGGGATGAAGGAAGAGGAGGCGGAGTCAGGAGGGAGGAGGTGGAGTCAGGAAGGGGAAGGAGGAGGCGGAGTCAGGGGGGGAGGGAGGGAGGGAGAGGAGGTGGAGTCAGGAAGGAGAGGAGGCGGAGTCTGGGAAGGAGAGGCGGGGCCAGGCCATTCCCACCCCACCCCAGAGACCCGGAAGCCCTCTCCTCCCTGACTTCCTGTCCCGCCCCTCGAGACTTCTGTCCCGCCTCGGACCCGGAGCCGCCCCACCTTGGCCCGGCGCTGGTGCTCCTCCTTCAGCTTCTCCTGCTGGCCCTGGGCTTCTTTGGAGCTGGAAAATACCGGAAAAAATCAAATTATTACTATTACTATATGTGTACTATTATTGTGTATTATTACTGTACTATTACTATTATTATTATTGTTACTATTATTATTACTTTTATTGTTATTAAGAAGCCGTCCAGAAGCCAGGTACTTCCTGTCTCACCTCCTTCCACTTCCTGCCGGAGATCACCTGCCATTCCTGGTGGGATCCTTCCCTTCCTTTTCTTCCTTCCTTTCCCTTTCCTTCCTTTTCGGTCTTCCTTCCTTTCCTTCCTCCCTCCCTCCCCTTCCTTCTTTTCCCTTTCCTTTTCCTTTCCTTCCGCCTTGCATTTCCTTCCTTCCTTCCTTCCTTCCTCCCTCCCTTCTTCTCACTTCCTTCCTTCATCCCTTCCTTCCCCTTCCCTTCCTTCTTCCCTTTTCCTTTCCTTCCTTCCTTCCTTCCTAGCTCCCTCCCTCCCTCCCCTTCCTTCTTCCCTTTCCTTGTTTTCGTTTCCCTTCCTTTCTTCTTGAATTTCTTTCCTTCCTTCTTGCATTTCCTTCCCTCCTTTCCTTTCCCTTCCTTCTTTCCTTCTTGCATTTCTTTCCTTCCTTCCCTCCCTTCTTTTCACTTCCTTCTTTCCATTACTTCTTTCCTTCCTTCCCTTCCTGTCCTTTCTTCTTCCCTTCCCTTCCTTCTTTTCACTTCCTTCCTCCCTTCCCTCCCTTCTTTTCACTTCCTCCTTCCATCCTTCCTTCCCCAGAGAGGATTCCCTGATCCCGCCGACCTCACTTCCGCCGACCAGGCCCTCCTGGATATGCGGAATCTCGTTTCCGGCTTGCGGGAAGAGATCTCCCTCGCAGCCGAAAGGAGGAAGCAGGAAGAGGAAGCGGCGGCATTTCCTTCCTTCCTTCTTTCCTTCCTTCTTGCATTTCCTCCCTTCCTTCCTTCCTTCCTTCCTGCCTGCATTTCTTTCCTTCCTTCCTTCCTTCCTTCATTCCTTCCTTCCTTCCTGCCTGCATTTCCTTCCCTCCTTCCTTCATCCCTGCTTTTCTTCCTTCCTTCCTTCCTTCCTTCCTTCCTTCTTTCCTTTCCCTTCCTTCCTCCCTCCCTCCCTCCCTCCTTCCTTCTTTTCCCTTTCCTTTTCCTTCCTTCTTTCCTTCGTTCCTTCCTTCCCTCACTCCCTCCCCCCTTTTCACTTCCTTCCTTCCTTCTTCCCTTTCCTTCTTTTCCTTCCTTCCTTCCTTCCTTCCCTCCCTCCCTCCCCCCTTTTCACTTCCTTCCTTCCTTCTTCCCTTTCCTTCCTTTCCTTTCCTTCCGCCTTGCATTTCCTCCCTTCCTTTCTTCCTTCCCTTCTTTTCACTTCCTTCTTTCCATTCCTTCCTTCCTTCCTTCCTTCTTCCCTTCATTCCTTCCTTCCTTCTCCTTCCTTCCTTCCTTCTTCCCTTCCTTCCTTCTCCTTCCTTCCTTGCTTCTCCTTCCTTCCTTCCTTTCCCTTCCTTCTTTCCTTCCTTCCTTCCTTCCTTCCTTCTTTCCATTCCTTCCTTCCTTCCTTCTTGTGTTTCCTTCCTTCCTTCCTTTCCTTCCTTCTTGCATTTCCTCCCTTTCTTCCTCCCTTCCCTCCCTTCTTTCCATTCCTTCCTTCCTCCCTTCTTTCCATTCCTTCCTTCCTTCTTGTGTTTCCTTCCTTCCTTCCTTTCCTTCCCTTCCTTCTTTCCTTCTTTCCTTCCTTCCCTCCCTTCTATCCATTCCTTCCTTCCTTTCGTCTTGCATTTCCTTCCTCCCTCCTTTTCCTTCCTTCCTTCCTTCCTTCTTGCATTTCCTCCCTTCCTTCCCCCTTCCCTCTTCTTTCCATTCCTTCCTTCCTTCTTTCCTTCTTTCTTTCCTTCCTTCCTTCCTTCCTTCCGTCTTGCATTTCCTTCCTTCCTCCCTCCCTCCTTCCTTCCTTTCCCTTTTCATTTCCTTCCTTCCTTCTTTCCTTTCCTTCGTTCCTTCGTTCCTTCCCTCCCTCCCTTCTTTTCACTTCCTTCCTTCCGTCTTGCATTTCCTTCCTCCCTCCTTTTCCTTCCTTTCTTCCTTCCTTTCCTTTCCTTCCTCCTTCCCCTTCCTTCTTTTCCCTTTCCTTCTCCTTCCTTCCTTCCTTCCTTCCTTCCCTTCTTTCTTTCCTTCCTTCCCCTTCCTTCCTTCTTCCTTTCCTCCCTTCCCCCCAACATGAAAAAAACCCGCCCACTTCCTGTCTCACCTCCTCTCCACTTCCTGCCGGAGATCCTGCCACTCCTGGTGGGACTTCAGCTCCCTCATCTCGTCAAAGCGCTTCAGCAGCTCCTAAGGTTGTCCATAGGCCTTCCTTCCTTCCTTCCTTCCTTTCCTTCCTTCTTGCATTTCCTTCCTTCCTTCCTCCCTTCCCTCCCTTCTTTCCATTCCTTCCTTCCTTCCTCCTTGCATTTCCTTCCTTCCTTCCTTTCCTTTCCTTCCTTCTTTCCTTCTTTATTTCCTTCCTTCCCTTCCTCCCTTCCTCCCCTTCCTTCTTTTCCCTTTCCTTTTCCTTCCTTCCTTCCTTCCTTTCCTTCGTTCCTTCCTTCCTTCCCTCCCCCCTTTTCATTCCTTCCTTCCTTCTTCCCTTTCCCTTCCTTCTTTCCTTCTTGCATTTCCTTCCTTCCCTCCCTTCTTTTCACTTCCTTCTTTGCATTCCTTTCTTCCTTCCTTCCTTCTTCCCTTCATTCCTTCTCCTTCCTTCCTTCTTCCCTTCCTTCCTTCTCCTTCCTTCCTTCCTTCCTTCCTTCATCCCTTCCTTCCCCTTCCCTTCTTTTCATTTCCATTTCCCTTCCTTCCTTCCTTCCTTCCTTCCTTCCTTCTTCCTTCTCCTTCCTTCCTTCTTCCCTTCCTTCCTTCTCCTTCCTTCCTTCCTTCCTTCTTCCCTTCCTTCCTTCTCCTTCCTTCCTTCATCCCTTCCTTCCCCTTCCCTCCCTTCACTTCCTCCTTCCCTTCCCTTCCTTCCTTCCTTTCCTCCACTTCCTCCCTTCCTTCTTTTCACTTCCTCCTTCCCTTCCTTCCTTTCCTTCCTTCCTCCCTCCCTCCCTTCTTTTCACTTCCTCCTTCCCTTCCTTCCTCCCTTCCCTCCCTCCCTCCCTTCACTTCCTCCTTCCCTTCCTTCCTTCCTTCCCTCCTTCATCCCTCCTTCCTTCCTTCCTTCCTTCCTTCCTTTCCTTCCTTCCCTCCCTCCCTTCTTTTCACTTCCTTCCTTCCCCTTCCTTTCCTCCCTTCCCCCCAACAGGAAAAAACCCCACCCACTTCCTGTCTCACCTCCTCTCCACTTCCTGCCGGAGATCCTGCCACTCCTGGTGGGACTTCAGCTCCCTCATCTCGACTTAGCGCTTCAGCAGATGCTTTGTCTTTCGATAGGCCTTCCTTCCTTCTTTCCTTCCTTCCTTCCTTCCTTCCTTCTTGCATTTCCTTCCTTCCTTCCTTCCTTCCCTCCCTTCTTTCCATTCCTTCCTTCCTTCCTCCCTCCTTTTCCTTCCTTCCTTCCTTCCTTCCTCCCTTCCTTTCCTTTCCTTCCTTCCTTTTTTCTTTCCTTCCTTCCTCCCTCCCTCCCCTTCCTTCTTTTCCCTTTCCTTTTCCTTTTCCTTCCTTCCTTCCTTCCTTCCTTCCTTCCTTCCTTCCTTTCCTTCCTTCCTTCCTCCCTCCCTTTCCTCCCTTCTTTTCACTTCCTTCTTTCCATTCTTTCCTTCCTTCCTTCCTTCCTTCCTTCCTTCCTTCCTTCTTCCCTTCCTTCCTTCCTTCTTTCTTCCCTTCCTTCTCCTTCCTCCCTTCCTTCCTTCATCCCTTCCTTCCCCTTCCCTTCTTTTCACTTCCTTCCTTCCTTCCTTCCTTCCTTCCTTCCTTCCTTCATCCCTTCCTTCCTCCCTTCTTCCTTTCCTCCCTTCCCGAGTAAGCCCCTCCGCTTCCTGTCTCACCTCCTCTCCACTTCCTGCCGGAGATCCTGCCACTCCTGGTGGGACTTCAGCTCCCTCATCTCGTCAAAGCGCTTCAGCAGCTCCCAGGATTGTCCATAGGCCTGCCTGCCTTCCTTCCTTCCTTCCTTCCTTCCTTTCCTTCCTTCTTGCATTTCCTTCCTTCCTCCCTTCCCTCCCTTCTTTCCATTCCTTCCTTCCTTCCTACCTTCCCTCCCTTTCCATTCCTTCCTTCCTTCCTTCCTTCCTTCCTTCTTGTGTTTCCTTCCTTCCTTCCTTTCCTTTCCTTCCTTCTTTCCTTCCTTCCCTTCCTCCCTCCCTCCCTCCCTCCGCTTCCTTCTTTTCCCTTTCCTTTTCCTTCCTTCCTTCCTTCGTTCCTTCCTTCCTTCCCTCCCTCCCCCTTTTCACTTCCTTTCTTCCTTCTTCCCTTTCCTTCCTTTCCTTTCCTTCCGCCTTGCATTTCCTCCCTTCCTTCCTTTCTTCCTTCCCTTCTTTTTACTTCCTTCTTTCCTTCCTTCCTTCCTTCCTTCCTTCCTTTCCTTCCTTCTTGCATTTCCTTCCTTCCTTCCTTCCTCCCTTCCCTTCCTTCCTTCTCTTTCCTTCCTTCTTGCATTTCCTTCCTTCCTTCCTTCCTTCCCTCCCTTCTTTCCATTCCTTCCTTCCTTCCTTCCCCTTCCCTTCTTTTCACTTCCTTCCTTCCTTCCCCTTCCTTCCTTCCTTCCTCCCTTCCCTCCCTCCCTCCCTTCACTTCCTCCTTCCCTTCCTTCCTTCCTTTCCTCCACTTCCTCCCTCCCTTCTTTTCACTTCCTCCTTCCCTTCCTTCCTCCCTCCCTCCCTCCCTTTTCACTTCCTCCTTCCCTTCCTTCCTTCCTTCCTTTCCTTCCTTCCCTCCCTCCCTTCTTTTCACTTCCTCCCTCCCTCCCTTCTTTTCACTTCCTTCTTTCCTTCTTCCTTTCCTCCCTTCCCCCCAACAGGAAAAAAATCCGCCCACTTCCTGTTTCACCTCCTCTCCACTTCCTGTCGGAGATCCTGCCACTCCTGGTGGGACTTCAGCTCCCTCATCTCGTCAAAGCGCTTCAGCAGCTCCTAAGGTTGTCCATAGGCCTTCCTTCCTTCCTCCCTTCCCTCCCTTCTTTTCACTTCCTTCCTTTCTTCCTTCCTTTCCTTCCCTCCCTTCCATCCTTCCTTCTTGCATTTCCTTCCCTCCTTCCTCCCTCCCCTTCCTTCTTTTCCCTTTCCTTCTTTCCTTCGTTCCTTCCTTCCTTCCCTCACTCTCTCCCCCCTTTTCACTTCCTTCCTTCCTTCTTCCCTTTCCTTTCCTTCCCTCCCTCCCTCCCCCCTTTTCACTTCCTTCCTTCCTTCCTCCCTTTCCTTCCTTTCCTTTCCTTCCGCCTTGCATTTCCTCCTTTCCTTCCTTCCTTCCTCCCTTCCCTCCCTTCTTTTCACTTCCTTCTTTCCTTCCTTCCTTCCTCCCTTCTCCTTCCTTCCTTCCTACCTTCCTTCTTCCCTTCCTTCCTTCTCCTTCCTTCCTTCCTTCTTCCCTTCCTTCCTTCTCCTTCCTTCTCCTTCCTTCCTTCCTTCCTTCTTCCCTTCCTTCCTTCTCCTTCCTTCCTTCCTTCCTTCTCCTTCCTTCCTTCTTTCCTTCCTTCCTTCTTCCTTTCCTTCCTTCCCCTTCCTTCCTTCTTCCTTTCCTCCCTTCCCCAGGTGCCCTGCCCACTTCTTCTCTCTCACCTCCTCTCTCACTTCCTTCCGGAGATCCTGCCACTCCTGGTGGGACTTCAGCTCCCTCATCTCGTCAAAGCGCTTCAGCAGCTCCTAAGGTTGTCCATAGGCCTTCCTTCCTTCTTTCCTTCCCTCCCTTCTTTCCATTCCTTCCTTCCTTCCGTCTTGCATTTCCTTCCTCCCTCCTTTTCCTTCCTTCCTTCTTTCCTTCCTTCCTTCCCTCCCTTCTTTCCATTCCTTCCTTCCTTCCGTCTTGCATTTCCTTCCTCCCTCCTTTTCCTTCGTTCCTTCTTTCCTTCCTTCTTGCATTTCCTCCCTTCCTTCCTCCCTTCCCTCCCTTCTTTCCATTCCTTCCTTCCTTCCTTCTTGTGTTTCCTTCCTTCTTGCATTTCCTTCCTTCCTTCCTCCCTTCCCTCCCTTCTTTCCATTCCTTCCTTCCTTCCTTCTTTCCTTCCTTCCTTTCCTTCCTTCTTGCATTTCCTTCCTTCCTCCCTTCTTTCCATTCCTTCCCTCCTTCCGTCTTGCATTTCCTTCCTCCCTCCTTTTCCTTCCTTCCTTCTTTCCTTCCTTCCTTCCTTTCCTTCCTTCTTGCATTTCCTTCCTTCCTTCCTCCCTTCCCTCCCTTCTTTCCATTCCTTCCTTCCTTCCTTTCCTTTCCTTCCTTCTTTCCTTCTTTCTTTCCTTCCTTCCCTTCCTTCCTTCCGTCCGTCTTGCATTTCCTTCCTTCCTCCCTCCCTTCCTCCCTCCCCTTCCTTCCTTCTTCCCTTCCTTCCTTCCTTCCTTCCTTCCTTCCTTCTTCCTTCCTTCCTTCCTTCCTTCCTTCCTTCCTTCTTCCTTTCCCCCCTCCCTTCCCCCCAGGGGAAAAAACCCCGCCCACTTCCTGTCTCACCTCCTCTCCACTTCCTGTCGGAGATCCTGCCACTCCTGGTGGGACTTCAGCTCCCTCATCTCGTCAAAGCGCTTCAGCAGCTCCTAAGGTTGTCCATAGGCCTTCCTTCCTTCTTTCCTTCCTTCCTTCCTTCCTTCCTTCTTGCATTTCCTTCCTTCCTTCCTTACTTCCTCCCTTCTTTCCATTCCTTCCTTCCTTCCTTCTTGTGTTTCCTTCCTTTCCTTTTCCTTCCTTCCTTCTTTCCTTTCCTTCGTTCCTTCCTTCCTTCCCTCCCTCCCCCCTTTTCACTTCCTTCCTTCCTTCCTTCTTCCCTTTCCTTTCCTTCCGCCTTGCATTTCCTCCCTTCCTTCCTTTCTTCCTTCCCTTCTTTTCACTTCCTTCTTTGCATTCCTTCCTTCCTTCTTCCCTTCCTTCCTTCTCCTTCCTTCCTTCCTTCTTCCCTTCCTTCCTTCTCCTTCCTTCCTTCCTTCTCCTTCCTTCCTTCTTCCCTTCCTTCCTTCTCCTTCCTTCCTTCCTTCTTCCCTTCCTTCCTTCTCCTTCCTTCCTTCCCTCCCTCCTTCCTTCCCTCCTTCCTTCCTTCCCTTCCGTCTTGCATTTCCTTCCTCCCTCCCTCCCTTCTTTTCCCTTTCCTTTTCCTTCCTTCCTTCTTTCCTTTCCTTCATTCCTTCCTTCCTTCCCTCCCTCCCTTCTTTTCACTTCTTTCTTTCCTTCCTTCCTTCCTCCCTTCCTTCCTTCTCCTTCCTTCCTTCCTTCCTTCCTTCTTCCCTTCCTTCCTTCTCCTTCCTTCCTTCTTCCCTTCCTTCCTTCCTACCTTCCTTCTTCCCTTCCTTCCTTCTCCTTCCTTCCTTCCTACCTTCCTTCTTCCCTTCCTTCCTTCTCCTTCCTTCCTTCTTCCCTTCCTTCCTTCCTACCTTCCTTCTTCCCTTCCTTCCTTCTCCTTCCTTCCTTCCTTCCTTCTTCCCTTCCTTCCTTCTCCTTCCTTCCTTCCTTCATCCCTTCCTTCCTCCCTTCTTCCTTTCCTCCCTTCCCCCCGGGGGAAAAAACCCCGCCCACTTCCTGTCTCACCTCCTCTCCACTTCCTGCCGGAGATCCTGCCACTCCTGGTGGGACTTCAGCTCCCTCATCTCGTCAAAGCGCTTCAGCAGCTCCTAAGGTTGTCCATAGGCCTTCCTTCCTTCTTTCCTATCTTCCTTCCTTCCTTCCTTTCCTTCCTTCTTGCATTTCCTTCCTTCCTTCCTCCTTTCCCTCCCTTCTTTCCATTCCTTCCTTCCTTCTTGCATTTCCTTCCTTCCTCCCTTCCCTCCCTTCTTTCCATTCCTTCCTTCCTCCCTTCTTGTTTTTCCTTCCTTCCTTTTCTTTCCTTCCTTCTTTCCTTCTTTCCTTCCTTCCCTTCCTCCCTCCCTCCCCTTCCTTCTTTTCCCTTTCCTTCCTTCCTTCCTTCCTTCCTTTCCTTCCTTCCTTCCTCCCTTCCCTCCCCTCTTTCCATTCCTTCCTTCCTTCCTTCTTGTGTTTCCTTCCTTCCGTCCGTCCGTCTTGCATTTCCTTCCTTCCTCCCTCCCTCCCTCCCCTTCTTTTCCCTTTCCTTTTCCTTCCTTCCTTCCTTCCTTCCTTCTTTCCTTTCCTTCCTTCCTTCCATCCATCTCTCTCTCTCCTTCCTTCCTTCCTTCCCCTTCCTTCCTTCCCTTCTTCCCTTCTTTCCTTCCTTCTTTCTTCCCTTTCCTTCCTTTCCTTCCTTCTTGTGTTTCCTTCCTTCCTTCCTTCCTTCCTTCCTTCCTTCCTTCTTGTTTCCTTTCTTCCTTCCTTCATTCCTTCCTTCCTTCCTTCCTCCCTCCTTTTCACTTCCTTCCTTCCATCTTGCATTTCCTTCCTCCCTCCTTTTCCTTCCTTCCTTCCTTCCTTTCCTCCCTTCCCCCCGGGGGAAAAACCCCGCCCACTTCCTGTCTCACCTCCTCTCCACTTCCTGCCGGAGATCCTGCCACTCCTGGTGGGACTTCAGCTCTCTCATCTCGTCAAAGCGCTTCAGCAGCTCCCAGGATTGTCCATAGGCCGCCCGGCTGGCCAGATCCTGGATCTCCTGGCGGCGGCGCAGATCCTCCTGGAGGAGGAGGAGGAGGACCGAGGGGAAGACTAGCTTTGGGAACCCGGTGGGATCTCCAGATCCTCCAAGAGCTCGTCAAGAGGAAGAGGAGCTGGAGGATCTGGGACCCAGGATCTCCAGGTGTTCCTCAAAAGGAAGATCTGGAGATGTTCGTGGATCCTCCAGAGATCTCCAGATCCTCCAAGGGTTCCTCAAGAGGGGGATCTGGAGATGTTTGGAGGATCTCCCGATCCTCCAAGAGATCCTCAAGAGGAAGAGCTGGAGATGTTTAGGGATCCTCCAAAGATATTCAGATCCTCCAAGAGCTCCTCAAGAGGAAGATGAGCTGGAGGATCCGGGGCCCGGGATCTCCAGGTGTTCCTCAAAAGGAAGATCTGGAGATGTTTGTGGATCCTCCAGAGATCTCCAGATCCTCCAAGGGTTCCTCAAGAGGGGGATCTGGAGATGTTTGGAGGATCTCCAGATCCTCCAAGAGATCCTCAAGAGGAAGAGCTGGAGATGTTTAGGGATCCTCCAAAGGTCTCCAGATCCTCCAAGAGATCCTCACGAGGAAGATCTGGACATGGTGTCGAACCCGGGGCCACCGGCGGAGAAGACCTGGAGGATCTGGGATCCGGGATCTCCAGACCCTCAAGTTCTGGAGATGGAGGATCCTCCAAAGATCTCCAGATCCTTCAAGGGTTCCTCAAGAGGAAGATCTGGAGATGTTTGGAGGCTCTCCAGATCCTCCAAGAGATCCTCAAGAGGAAGATCTGGAGATGTTTAGGGATCCTCCAAAGATCTCCAGATCCCCCAAGAGATCCTCAAGAGGAAGAACTGGAGACATGTTGTCGAACTCGGGGCCACCGGTGGAGAAGACCTGGAGGATCTGGGATCCGGGATCTCCAGACCCTCAAGTTCTGGAGATGGAGGATCCTCCAAGATCTCCAGATCCTCCAAGGGTTCCTCAAGAGGTTGATCTGGAGATGTTTGGAGGATCTCCAGATCCTCCAAGAGATCCTCAAGAGGAAGATCTGGAGATGTTTAGGGATCCTCCAAAGATCTCCAGATCCTCCAAGAGATCCTCAAGAGGAAGATCTGGAGACATGTCGAACTCGGGGCCACCGGTGGAGAAGACCTGCAGGATCTGGGATCCAAGATCTCCAGGACCTTCAAGACATCCTCAAGAGGAAGATCTGGAAATGTTTGGGGATCCTCCAAAGAGCTCCAGATCCTTCAAGAGATCTTCAAGATCTGGAGATGTTTGGGGATCCAAGATCTCCAGATCCTCCAAGAGATCCTCAAGGTCTCCTGGCAGCACCCCAGCTCCTCCTGGAGGAGGACCGAGGAGAAGACAGGTTGGGGAACCCGGGATCCACCTGGAGGATCTGGGATCTCCAGATCCTCCAAGAGATCCTCAAGATCTCCTGGCGGCGCCCTGCCTCCTCCTGCAGGAGGACCGAGGGGAAGACAGGTTGAGGAACCCAGGGGAGAAGAGCTGGAGGATATGGGATCTCCGGATCCTCCAAGAGATCCTCAAGATCTGGAGATGTTTAGGGATCCTCCAAAGATCTCCAAAACCTGCAAGAGATCCTCAAGAGGAAGATCTGGAGACGTTTAAGGATGACCCCCCCAAGATCTCCAGATCCTCCAAGAGATCCTCAAGAGGAAGATTTGGAGATGTTTAGGGATCCTCCAAAGATCCCCAGGTCTTCTTCTTGAGGATCTCTTGGAGGATCTGGAGATCTTTGGAGAACCATCCTCAAACCATCTCCAGATCTTCCTGGATCTCCAGATCCTTCAACCGTTCCTCACCAGGAAGATCTGCAGATCTTTTGAGGTCCATCCTCCAAACATCTCCAGATCTTCCTGGATCTCCACCTCCTTCCACCCTTCCTCCCCCGCAAGATCTCCAGATCTTTGGCGGATCTCCCGCTCCTCCCGCCCTTCCTCCCCCGCAAGATCCCCAGATCTTTGGCGGACCTCCTCCCACCCTTCCTCCCCAGCAACACCCGGAGATCTTTGGTGATCTGGTGGTGATCTTTTGAGGAACCCCAAGCTCCCCCTCTCCACCTCCTCCCGCCCTTCCTCCCCCGCGAGATCCCCAGATCCCGGGAGATCCACTCACCTCGCCCTCGGCCGCCCGGATCCGGTCGTAGAGGCGCAGGATCCCCTCGATCCCGGGGCCCTTGGGGGCGGGCGCTTCCGGGGCGCTGGGCGGATCCCTCCGCTTCTCGGGGCGCTGAGGGATCAAGAGAGAGGGATCGGGTGAGAGGAGGGCGGTGGATCCGGGATCGAGTATTGAGACTCAGGATACGGGGCAGGGGTTTGATTGACAGGAGGGTAGGATAGGAGACAAGGATAGGAAACAAGGATAGGATAGGAGACAAGGATAGGATAGGAGGATAGGATAGGATAGGATAGGATAGGATAGGAAACAAGGATAGGATAGGAGGATAGGATAGGAAACAAGGATAGGATAGGAGGATAGGATAGGATAGGATAGGATAGGATAGGATAGGAGACAAGGATAGGATAGGAGGATAGGATAGGAGACAAGGATAGGATAGGACAGAAGGATAGGATAGGAGAATAGGATAGGATAGGATAGGATAGGAAACAAGGATAGGATAGGAGGAGAGGATAGGAAACAAGGATAGGATAGGACAGGACAGAAGGATAGGATAGGAAACAAGGATAGGATAGGGCAGCAAACAAGGATAGGATAGGAGACAAGGATAGGATAGGAGGATAGGATACAATAGGATAGGATAGGATAGGAAACAAGGATAGGAAACAAGGATAGGATAAAAGGATAAGATAGGACAGAAGGATAGGATAGGATAGGAGAATAGGATAGGGTAGGAAACGAGGATGGGATAGCAGGATAGGATAGGATAGGAGGGTAGGATAGGAAACAAGGAGACAAGGATAGGATAGAAGGATAGGATAGGAGACAAGGATACGAGACAATAATAGGATAGGAGGATAGGATACGATTGAAGGATAGGATATGGTATGATAGGAAACAAGGATAGGATAGGATACGATTGGAGAGAAGGATAGGATAGAATAGGATAGGATAGGAGACAAGGGTAGGATAGGAGACAAGGATAGGATAGGAGGAGAGGAGAGGAGAGGATAGGATAGGAAACAAGGATAGGATAGGATAAAAGGATAGGATAGGAGGGTAGGATAGGAAACAAGGAGACAAGGATAGGGTAGGGTAGGATAGGAAACAAGGATAGGATAGAAGTATAGGATAGGAGAATAGGATAGGGTAGGAAACAAGGATAGGATAGGAGGATAGGATAGGAGACAAGGATAAGATAGGACAGAAGGATAGGATAGGATAGGATAGGAGAATAGCATAGGAAAGGAAGAGAGGAGAGGATAGGATAGGAGAATAGGATAGGAAAGGAAGAGAGGAGAGGATAGGATAGGATAGGAGAATAGGATAGGGTAGGAAACAAGGATAGGATAGGAGGGTAGGATAGGAGACAAGGAGACAAGGATAGGATAGAAGGATAGGATAGGAGACACAGATAAGATAGGACAGAAGGATAGGATACGAGGATAGGATACAATTGGAGAGAAGGATAGGATAGGATACAACAAGACAGAGATAGGATAGGAAGTAAGGAGAGGATAGGAGGATAGGATACGATTGAAGAATAGGATAGGATTGGAGGGTAGGATAGGAAACAAGGATACGAGACAATAATAGGATAGGAGGATAGGATACGATTGAAGGATAGGATATGATATGATAGGAAACAAGGATAGGATAGGATTCGATTGGAGAGAAGGATAGGATAGAATAGGAGACAAGGGTAGGATAGGATACAATACGAAACAATAGGCAGAAGGATAGGATAGGATAGGAGAGAAGGATAGGATAGGAAACAAGGATAGGATAGGAGGATAGGATACAATTGGACAGAATGATAGGACAGAAGGATAGGATATTATAGGAGACAAGGGTAGGATAGGATACAATACAATAGGCAGAAGGATAGGATAGGATAGGAAAGGAAACAAGGATAGGCGAATAGGATAGGATAGGATAGGAGACAAAGATAGGATAAGAGAATAGGATAGGATAGGATACAATTGGACAGAAGGATAGGATATTATAGGAGACAAGGGTAGGATAGGAGACAAGGATAGGAGAATAGGATAGGAAGATAGGATATGATAGGAGGATAGGATAGGGTAGGAAATAAGGATAGGATAGGAGGATAGAAGGGTAGGATAGGATAGGATAGGAGACGAGGATAGGATAGGAGGAGAGGAGAGGAAGATAGTATAGGATAGGAAGATAGGATAGGAGACGAGGATAGGATAGGGTAGGAAATAAGGATAGGATAGGAGGATAGGATAGGAAGATAGGATAGGATAGGAGGATAGGATAGGGTAGGAAATAAGGACAGGATAGGAGGATAGAAGGGTAGGATAGGATAGGATAGGATAGGAGGAGAGGAGAGGAAGATAGGATAGGATAGTAGGATAGGATAGGATAGGAGACGAGGATAGGATAGGAGGATAGGATAGGAAGATAGGATAGGGTAGGAAATAAGGATTGGATAGGAGGATAGGAGGATAGAAGGGTAGGATAGGATTGGCTAGGCTAGGCTAGGATAGGATAGGAGACGAGGATAGGATAGGAGGAGAGGAGAGGAAGATGGGATAGGATAGGAGGATAGGATAGGGTAGGAAATAAGGATAGGATAGGAGGATAGAAGGGTAGGATAGGATAGGATAGGATAGGATAGGAGACGAGGATAGGAAGATAGGATAGGATAGGAGACAAGGAAAGGATAGGAGAAAAGGATAGGATAGGATAGGAGAAAAGGATAGGATAGGAGGATAGGATAGGATAGGAGGATAGGATAGGAGACAAGGATAGAAGACAAGGATAGGATAGGAGAGAAGGATAGGATAGGAGAAAAGGATAGGATAGGAGACAAGCATAGGATAGCAGGATATGATAGGATCGAAGGCTAGGATAGGATAGGAAACCAGGACACCCCACCCCCCACCCCCCACGGCCACAGGGGGTCCCTACCTGCGCGACCTCCGCCCCTTCCGCCCGGGGGGCGGGGCCTCGGCCCGGCGACCCTTCGGGGGGCGGGGCTTCGGGGAGGGCGGCCTCCCCCCGGGCCGAGCCTTCCGGCGCCGCCTCCTCCTGGCGAGGGGATTGGTCGATCCGGCCCAGGATCCATCCCGCCTGGGGGGAGAGCAAGGGGGGGGGAGCGGTGGGCTTCCAAGATGTCCTGGGGGCGAGAAGGGGGCAGGGGAATTAAGAATCATATTAGTCTTCAAGATTGGATCTTGAATAGTAGAAAAGATTTATATAATAATATAATAAGAGAATAATATAATAAGAGAATAAAATATATTAATTATATATATTTAATAATGCAATTACAATATAATTATAATAATATAATTAATATTATAATTAAAATATAATAAAAGAAGAATATAATAAAATATTTTAATTATATATATTTAATAATATAATTACAATATAATTATAATAATATAATAATATAATTAAAATATAATAAAAGAAGAATATAATAATATAATAAAATACATTAATTATATCTATTTAATAATATAATTACAATATAATTATAATAATATAATAATAGAATTAAAATATAATAAAAGAAGAATATAATAATATAATAAAATATACTAATTATATATATATAATACTATAATTACAATATAATTATAATAATATAATTAAAATATAATAAAAGAATAATATAAGAAAAGAAAAGAAAAGAAAAGATTGGATCCGAAAGCTGACAGAATATGCT